GCCTTGGATGGCAGAGATGTCTGCCTCCCTCCAACCATGCGTATGGTCTTGGATGGCAGAGATGTCTGCCTCCCTCCAACCATGCGTACTGCCTTGCCATCCCACTCTGCCACGCACCATGCTGTCTTCAAGCCTCTCGCACCATATTCAAAAACCCATAGAATCTCTACCCCTGCAGGTGGTGGTGATGCAGCATGTGATCCACTGCGGTCTGCTGCTCTCCGCCATCCCCCTCATACCATCTCCATCCCCCTCATACCATCTCCATCCCCGTCCCTCTCTGCCATGTCTCACACCATCTCTCGCCCCGGCAGGTGGTGGTGATGCAGCATGTGATTGACTGGGGTCTGCTGCTCTCCGCCATTCCTCTCTGCCTCATATCTCGAGCCTTCAACGTCTTCCCTCTCTCCTTCCTCTCCAACTGCACTCAGTAAGCCCCTCCTTCTCATTCTGTGACTTTCAAGTTGACTCAGAGTCAGAACTAACCAACTTTGCTCAGTCAGTCTCTTTCCCTCGTTCTATCTGCTCCGATTTCCCCTCTAAACCCCATTCACGCCTTACTTATCTCTGCTCAACATGCCTTCAATGTTTTTTTCTCCCCTGCCCCTACATCCTCCAGTGTCCCACCCCTCCTGCGTTCCCCTGCACCCAGGGCCAACAAGATCCCCGCCAACATGATTCTCATGATGTGGCTCAGCGGGCTAAGAGGCGCCATTTTTGTTTGCCCTCGCCCTCGACATGCCTCCACTCTTTTCCCTGCCCCCCTATAACCCCCTGTGCCCCCTGTGGTCCCCCATGCCTCACTGCATTATCCTCATTCCCACCCAGGGCCAACAAGATCCCTACCAACATGATTCTCATGATGTGACTCAGCGGGCTGAGGGGCGCCATTGCCTTCGCCCTTGCCCTCAACATGCCTCCACTCTCTCCCCTGCCCTTATACCCCCCTGCCCCCTGTGGTCCCCTGTGTCCCCCCCTGCGTTTCCCTAATTTCCACCCAGGGCCAACAAGATCCCCACCAACATGATTCTCATGATGTGGCTCAGCGGGCTAAGGGGCGCCATTGCTGTTTGCCCTCGCCCTCAACATGCCTCCACTCTCTCCCTTTCTGCTATGCCGTTCCTCTGTGTCCCATGTGTACCTCTACCCACCCCAGGGCCAACAAAATCCCTACCAACATGATTCTCATGATGTGGCTCAGCGGCCTGAGGGGCGCCATTGCCTTCGCCCTCGCCCTCAACATGCCTCAGCGCAACCCTGCCATCATCTCCACCACCCTCTTTGTCGTTGTGCTAACCACCGTCGTCATGGGCGGCTCCACTTGTCCTCTTCTGCGCGCTCTGGGCCTCTCCGCCGCCCACCCGCACACTCCCAAACATGCACGCGCCTCTCTAGCTGGTTCCTCTCATACAAGCACTCCCTTACACTCACCTCCACCGTCCCACTCACACCCACACTCACGCTCACACCCACACTCACACTCACATGTACACACTGAAGCAGAGGCAGCAGAAGCAGAGGAACAACTGGAGCACCATCATTCCATCCGCACTGTACCCTCTTTAGACGTCCCCCTTATAGGCGGTCGTAGCCTCAACGACCTTCTATACATGCAGCGATCCCACTCACTCTCTTTCGCCCCCCCCTCCGGCCTCCACAAGTGGTTCAAATGGCTAGACACGCATTACTTAAAGCCACTGTTCGGCGGCAGGGCGTTTAGAGACCAGCACTTATCCGAGCAGCTAAGTGTCGACGAGGAGGAGGCAATGGAGGGAATCCCCTGCTTTTCCTACCGTGGGATTGGATTCTCGCTAAGTGTTCCAAGGAACTGGGTGGAACAGCTGCCATCCGCGTTTGAAGACCATGTGCTGGTGAAGTTTAGTGACCCCGATGTGACTATAGACGGCGACCCTGTAGCAGAGCTTGATGTTATCTGTTTTTCTGTCCGCCCGTCCGGGATTTCGTCTCTGACCGAATTCGGGGACCCGATGAATTTCCTGCTGACCGAGTGGGATGATATCTGCCCGGAGCTCGCAGCTGGTGTGAGCGCAAGCAGCAAGGTTGGCAGCAGTGGTGGGGATACTAGCAAGGCTGGTGGTGCGGGCACTAGTAAGCCTCTGGTTTTGGCTGAAGGGGTTAAGAGATCCGTGTCTTTCTCATTGCCTGAAGCAGCATCTGCTGCAGTACCTTACCAGCCTCCTCCTGCTGGTGCCCCTCCGGCTACCACTACTGCTACTGCTGCTGTTGGTTCCACTGCTGCGACTACCACTGCTGCTGCTACCACTGCTGCATCTACTGCTGCTGTTACTACCACCACCGCTGATGCTGCTGCTGCTGCTGCTGCTGCGGTTACAGCTATTCCTGAGAGTGGCATTAACAGCAGAGGCAAAGGAACGTTCTTGTCTATCTTCAACAGCCCGGGATCACCAACCACCCACTCATCCTCTCAACCATCCCAGCAATCCCCCTCCCAACGCCAAGGCTCAGGGGGATTTCTCCCATCATCTTCCAGTCAGAGGGGCGAGCCTTCGGGGACTAGTGGTCGAGAGCAGACCTCCCAGGCTGCCCTCCCGTCCATGCCCAGCCTTGCTCGGGCACGCTCACAAACTTCCCATGCTGCCCGAGCTGCCCCGGCGTTTGTCATTTGGGCAGAAGAATTGATTTCTGCTGGGGGAAAGTTTTTCCGGTATGAGCTGGTGGTGCATCCGGAGGACCTGGGGGATCACAAGGCGGATATTCAGCACCTGCTGCTGTGTGCAGGGGTATCAAACGGTGCTGTGCATGTTTGTAGGGTGAGGGGCACTGAGGCCTTTTTCTTTGATGGCAGGCCGCTGCTGAAACACATTCTGGACTCTTTTGCCCTGTCGTGAAGGACAATGAGATGGCTCGTTGTCGTACTGTATGCGTGGCTCAGTGATGCACATAATCATGTGTGTTGTGTTTGTTTGTCCTGCTGTGTGTTTCACTAGGCAGTGCATCCCACTAGGCAGAGTAGAAAACCGTATGGTACAAAAAGAATGGATAATGTATGCTAACCACCATGTACAGAATAAAGTAGTCACATGCAGTGCATACACCAAGAGTTATCAATGGTACCTACCTGCAAGCATCTACAGTAGCAGAGAGCATCTATTTACAACAGGAGTTACACCTGTGTAAGACCAATCAGTGCACGGCACGTGGCTGCTGCACGCGCATGCGCTGCGCCCTGCATTCCATGGCAGGCGACCAGCAGCGTGCCACGACCTCCCTTGGCTGCACCAGAAAAGGCATGGCAGCGGCGGGTGAGGGAGAGAAGAGACAGACATGACATCGCGAAAGTGGTGGGTGGGGGAGAGTAGGGGCAGGTAAGGAGGGAGGAAGAGGAGGAAAGGGAGGAAATATTGTTGCCCAAATGCACGACGCAGATGGAAATGAGAGGCAAGAAACGGATAGTGAAAGGCGTGACAGGCCCGAGATCAGCGTACCGCGTGGGGGTGAACCGCGTGTGCCTTGGTGGGCGGGTATTCGTCGACCTTCGACAGAGCCCTCATCAACGCGTCTGGCATTCACGGAATGGGGAAAGGAGAAACATGATGAATACGGAAACCATGGCTCCCTCAACGGGAAGAAGTATGATGAGAACGTTACGAAATTTCAGGTGCGGCTTCATCCAGCAACCACGCCCGTTCTTCACGTGAATCAAGCTAAAGTGAACAAATTACGGCGATTCGTCGCCTTATCTTACGGTGGTTCCATTTCAAGGCTTCTAAAAAAACCAACGGTCGTACCTTTGTCCACGTGTTGCATTCTGGCCTCCTTGGCCGCCTGAACCTTGGCGATGGCCTCGCGCGCTTTCATCTTCCGCCGCTTCTGCGCGCGCGCCATCAGCTCCGCCAACACCTTCCCCATCAGCTCGCGCCGCTCCTCAATCTCCGCGGGGTGGTTGTGCAGCGTGCGCGCGCCGCTGCAGCAACATCCGCGATATAGAGAGAGGTGGCACTCGCCGCAGACGTCGACGTAAAACGGTAGGCAGAGATGAACGTGGCCGGAATTCTCGTCCGCGTACACGACCTTGCTCGTCAGCGCCTTGGGACACGAGCACAGCGCCATGGCGTGCGAGATGGCGCGTCGGCTTAAGACAGTAAGTACACTAGAAATTGATGATACGGGAGGAATCTATTGTAACAGCTACTTCGAGATTTGCAACTCTCACTAGAAAATGAAGTAGAATGACAGAGCGGAATGATACAAACGAAAGACAGAAACGCGACACTGGCACTTGAGCACAAGAATGGGAGAAACTGATGCTTTGAACAAATTGAACTCGACTGCCGCCAAGAAATATACTCCTCGATTGAGAAAGGGGATTGGATGGTTGCTGCACAGGGTTCGATGATGAGCGAAATGCGGTGATTGCAGAAGGGAGATTGATGAATCCTACCTGGCCGCCGCAGATGACACGTCGTTGGGAGATTGTGCGATATTGTGGAGCCTTTGGGGCAGGAAAGTACACTTGAAAGGATGATAGATCGGCATTTTAGTAGGAATGAGACGGACAACGCCAAATTTCAAATACAATATGCCCAATTTTGCCCGCCAATTGTTTGAACACCATAGGTACTCGCTCGAAACAGCTGAATTGTCTGCCAACAGCGCGCTTACTTGCCCAGCTGGCACCTTGTTTGTCTATATCACTACATTTTTGTTGCCAAGTCGCTGGAATGCGCTGGGTGGATGGGGTATACACGTCACCACGACGTGGCCTAGTGAAAAATAGATTTGGTAAATTAAAGCAGAACGCGAAACAAAAATGATTTCTGTATGTCATGATGTTACAATTTATGTCCATTTGGAAATTCATCCATTTTTTCTCAATGCATCAGAGCATTGTCTCACACAAAGGGATACGGTACCATCAGTAATATGATATACGACCCAAACAAAGAAAGTTCTCTATGCAGGCAATCTCACTAACATTTGCCACTTGAGCAATGCCATCCCACTCTTGACCCTAAATTCTAATATCTGTAGCCAGGAGGCGGCGGTCCTCCTGGTCCATATCTAGGGGGAGGGGGGCCATATCCAGGCGGGGGCGGCATGCCTGGGGGAGGCGGACCCCCTGGATACCCAGGAGGGGGAGGCCCCCCTGCCATGCCAGGAGGGGGAGGCATGCCTGGGGGACCAGGGGGAGGTCCCCCTCCCCCCATGTATGGAGGGGGGGGCAATCCAGGGGGAGGGGGACCTCCCCCCATACCAGGGGGAGGGGGACCTGCACCTGGGGGGAATGGCTGCGGGGGGGGGCGCCCAAGGGGGGGAGGGCCAGGGGGAGGTCCACCTGGGGGAGGGGGGCCCCCCATCATAGGGGGAGGGGGACCCCGCCCAGACATGGGGGGAGGGGGACCACGAGGAGGGCCATATGGGGAAGGCCCACCAGGGGGAGGGTAGAACTGCGCTGGGGGTGGACCACCGGGCCTAGGAGGACCGTACGGAGGCCCGGCAGGCCCCGGACCACCAGGTCCGGGAGGAGGCCCACCAGGAGGTCCGGGAGGGTACGGCCCGGGAGGGGGAGGGCCGCGGAAAGGGGGACCTTGGGGGGAACCTTGGGGGGGGGCCGGGGGGACCGTAAGGGCTGGGGGGGAAATTTCTGGGGGGAGTGCCGTGGGGAGGGGGGGCCGGGAGGGGGACCTCGATTGTAAGGAGGGGGAGTATGGGGAGGGGGGGCCGTGGGGAGGGCCGGCGTGGGGGGGGAGGGGGACCGTGGAAAGGGGGGGCGTGAGGAGGAGGGGCAAATGGGGAGGGGGCCCTCTAGGAGGGGTGGCAGGAAAGGCTGCTGGGCGGCTTTGGTGGCTGAGAATGGGCGGCGCAGAGGAGGGAGGGGCGGCAGGGGAAGACGCGGGGTAGTAGGGAGCAGGGGCACCGGGAGTGGGGAGGACAGGAGGGGCGGTAGAGGGGGCGAGAGGGGCAGGGGGGTTGTATGGGGAGGAGGAGAGGATGGGTGTGGATGATGTGGTGAAGGGGGTGGCAGCGGCATTGGTGGTGGTGGCAGAAGAGAGGATACCAGCCGTGGTGGTGGCAGTGGTAGAAGGAGCAGGGATGGGCGCGACTGTGGGGAGGTCTGGACGAGTGAAGTCCCTGCTGCGATCATTGTTGGCCTGGGCGGGATAGGGGGGGGAGATGAGGGGGTAAATGCAGTGCAAGGGAAAAAGAGGGAAGATGGGTGAGTGTGAGCAGGCAGCTTGGAAAACGAGATTTAGAGGGAGAGAACGACAGAAGATGTACATGCACGGGTGTGCACCTAACCACCTTGCCTTTCCACACATCACCTAGCCTCACCACCCACCACCGTGCCTCACCACTCATGACCGTGCCTCACACCTCACCTTGACATTGAGGTCAGTGTGACGAGAGAAGGAGATGCGCAGCTTGCAGTAGCCCCCCTCGTAGATGCAGTGCGACCAGCCCACATGCCTTGCCTTACATCACACACACCTCCCCACCGCGCCTCACACCTCACCACCCCGCCTCACACCTCACCACCGCGCCTCACACCTCACCTTGACATTGAGGTCGGTGTGACGGGAGAAAGAGATGCGCAGCTTGCAGTAGCCCCCCTCGTAGATGCAGTGCGACCAGCCCACATGCCTTGCCTTACATCACACACACCTCCCCACCGCGCCTCACACCTAACCACCGCGCCTCACACATCACCACCGCGCCTCACACCTCACCTTGACATTGAGGTCGGTGTGACGGGAGAAAGAGATGCGCAGCTTGCAGTAGCCCCCCTCGTAGATGCAGTGCGACCAGCCCACATGCCTTGCCTTACATCACACACACCTCCCCACCGCGCCTCACACCTCACCACCGTGCCTCACACCTCACCTTGACATTGAGGTCGGTGTGACGGGAGAAGGAGATGCGCAGCTTGCAGTAGCCCCCCTCGTAGATGCAGTGCGACCAGCCCACATGCCTTGCCTTACATCACACACACCTCCCCACCGCGCCTCACACCTCACCAGCGTGCCTCACACCTCACCCTGACATTGAGGTCGGTGTGACGGGAGAAGGAGATGCGCAGCTTGCAGTAGCCCCCCTCGTAGATGCAGTGCCCTTCCAACGCGTCCTTGGCCGATGTGGCTGCTGCTATGTCTGCAGCATGGGAGAGTGCGAGAACGGAAGAATTGGTGGAGAGTGGGATGGGATGGCTCTGGTGTGGCATACACACACATGTGCACAACGTCACCAAGAAGCGATGTACCAGGAATTCATGCACTTAGCTGGGCAAGAACCTGGGAATCAGCCTGGGCACGAACCTGGGAATCAGCCTGGGCACGAACCTGGGAACTGGACGAGCGCCTGAAATCCGGCACTCTTCTCAAAGATGGCAATTTTCTGCACCGCGCCATATGCTGAGAAGACCTGCAGCAAGGCATGCAGAGAGCGAAAGAGAAATGGAGGGTTATGGGGGGCAGAAACAGTGGGAGGAAGAGTAGGTGGAGTAGGAAAGAGAGTTGAGAGAGTGGGAAGGTGGTAACACAGCAGCCAATCAGAGAGGGCGAAATGCCAAGATGTCTGGGCTTGTACTACTCAGAATGAGAAGCTGCTGTGTGCCAATCGCCAGCAGTGTGCAGGGGTGAATCACCGTGGGAAGCGGTGACTCACGGTGTGCAGCACGTCCATGGTGACGGGGTACTGCATGTTCTCAATAGATGCCAGCAGCAAGGAGGCACATGGTATGGGGTGTAATGCGGTGACACATGGTGTGCAGGGACGACCAACGGTGTCAAGCGGTGCCTAATGGTGCAAAATGGTGACTCACGGTGTGCAGCACATCCATGGTGACGGGGTACTGCATGTTCTCTATGGATGCCAGCAGCACGTTGCTTCCCGCTTCGCCCTTCACTGCTGCCACAGGCCCTGGGGTGAGCTGATAAGGCCACAGGGGTGAGAGCCAGATGTGGGTTGGGGAAACAAAGGGAGAAAACTCAAACACTGCATGATCTCGATTGATGCCAGCAGCACGTTGCTGCCTGCTTCGCCCTTCACTGCTGCCATGGGCCCTGGGGTGAGCTGGTAAGGCCACAGGAGTGAGAATGAATTGAGGAAGGATGGGGAAAAAGGAGGGATTGAGACCGGGGGGAACATTGCTGTGTTCCATGACCATGGGACGAGGTGACAAGGAGGGTAAAGTGGGGGTGAAGTGAGGGTGAGATGGATGGGGAAGGGAGAGAAGGAGAAACTGCATGTGTGCCTGCACACTTGCCTCTCTACCTGCACGCCTGCCTCTCTACCTGCATGCTTGCTCTCTACCAGCACGCCTGCCTCTCTACCTGCACGCTTGCTCTCTACCTGCGCGCTTGCTCTCTACCTGCACGCTTGCTCTCTGCCTGCACGCTTGCTCTCTACCTGCACGCTTGCTCTCTACCGGCACGCTTGCTCTCTACCTGCACGCTTGCTCTTTGCCTGCACGCTTACTCTCTGCCTGCACGCTTGCTCTCTACCTGCACGCTTGCTCTCTGCCTGCACGCTTGCTCTCTGCCTGCACGCTTGCCTCTCTACCTGCATGCTTGCTCTCTACCTGCACGCTTGCTCTCTACCTACACGCTTGCTCTCTACCTTCCCGCTTGCTCTCTGCCTGCACGCTTGCCTCTCTACCTGCACGCTTGCTCTCTACCTGCACGCCTGCCTCTCTACCTGCACGCTTGCTCTCTACCTGCGCGCTTGCTCTCTACGTGCACGCTTGCTCTCTACCTGCACGCTTGCTCTCTACCTGCACGCTTGCTCTCTACCTGCATGCTTGCTCTCTGCCTGCACGCGTGCTCTCTGCCTGCACGCTTGCTCTCTGCCTGCACGCTTGCTCTCTACCTGGACGCTTGCTCTCTACCTGCACGCTTGCCTCTCTACCTGCACGCTTGCCTCTCTACCTGCACGCTTGCCTCTCTACCTGCACGCTTGCTCTCTACCTGCACGCTTGCTCTCTGCCTGCACGCTTGCTCTCTGCCTGCACGCTTGCTCTCTGCCTGCACGCTTGCTCTCTACCTGCACGCTTGCTCTCTACCTGCACGCTTCCTCTCTGCCTGCACGCTTGCTCTCTGCCTGCACGCTTGCTCTCTGCCCGCACGCTTGCTCTCTGCCTGCACACTTGCTCTCTGCCTGCACGCTTGCTCTCTACCTGCACGCTTGCTCTCTACCTGCACGCTTCCTGTCTGCCTGCACGCTTCCTCTCTACCTGCACGCTTCCTCTCTACCTGCACGCTTCCTCTCTACCTGCACACTTGCTCTCTACCTGCACGCTTCCTCTCTACCTGCACGCTTGCTCTCTACCTGCACGCTTGCCTCTCTACCTGCACGCTCGCCTCTCTACCTGCACGCTTGCTCTCTGCCTGCACGCTTGCTCTCTACCTGCACGCTTCCTCTCTACCTGCACGCTTCCTCTCTACCTGCACGCTTGCCTCTCTACCTGCACGCTTGCCTCTCTACCTGCACGCTTGCCTCTCTACCTGCATGCTTGCCTCTCTACCTGCACGCTTGCCTCTCTACCTGCACGCTTGCTCTCTACCTGCACGCTTCCTCTCTGCCTGCACGCTTGCTCTCTGCCTGCACGCTTGCTCTCTACCTGCACGCTTGCTCTCTACCTGCACGCTTGCTCTCTACCTGCACGCTTGCTCTCTACCTGCACGCTTGATCTCTGCCTGCACGCTGGCTCTCTACCTGCGCGCTTGCCTCTCTACCTGCACGCTTCCTCTCTACCTGCACGCTTGCCTCTCTACCTGCACGCTTGCTCTCTACCTGCACGCTTGCTCTCTACCAGCACGCTTGCTCTCTACCTGCACGCTTCCTCTCTGCCTGCCCGCTTGCTCTCTGCCTGCATGCTTGCTCTCTGCCTGCACGCTTGCTCTCTGCCTGCACGCTTGCTCTCTACCTGCACGCTTGCTCTCTGCCTGCACGCTTGCTCTCTGCCTGCACGCTTCCTCTCTACCTGCACACTTCCTCTCTACCTGCACGCTTGCTCTCTACCTGCACGCTTGCTCTCTACCTGCACGCTTGCTCTCTGCCTGCACGCTTGCTCTCTACCTGCACGCTTCCTCTCTACCTGCACGCTTCCTCTCTACCTGCACGCTTGCCTCTCTACCTGCACGCTTGCCTCTCTACCTGCACGCTTGCCTCTCTACCTGCACGCTTGCCTCTCTACCTGCACGCTTGCTCTCTACCTGCACGCTTGCTCTCTGCCTGCACGCTTGCTCTCTACCTGCACGCTTGCTCTCTACCTGCACGCTTGCTCTCTACCTGCACACTTGCTCTCTACCTGCACGCTTGCTCTCTGCCTGCACGCTTGCTCTCTGCCTGCACGCTTGATCTCTGCCTGCACGCTTGCTCTCTGCCTGCACGCTTGCTCTCTACCTGCATGCTTCCTCTCTGCCTGCACGCTTCCTCTCTACCTGCACGCTTCCTCTCAACCTGCACGCTTGCTCTCTACCTGCACGCTTGCTCTCTACCTGCACGCTTCCTCTCTGCCTGCACGCTTGCTGTCTACCTGCACGCTTCCTCTCTACCTGCACGCTTCCTATCTACCTGCACGCTTGCCTCTCTACCTGCACGCTTCCTCTCTACCTGCACGCCTGCCTCTCTACCTGCACGCTTGCTCTCTACCTGCATGCTTGCTCTCTACGTGCACGCTTGCTCTCTACCTGCACGCTTGCTCTCTACCTGCACGCTTGCTCTCTACCTGCACGCTTGCTCTCTACCTGCACGCTTGCTCTTTGCCTGCACGCTTGCTCTCTGCCTGCACGCTTGCTCTCTACCTGCACGCTTGCTCTCTGCCTGCACGCTTGCTCTCTGCCTGCACGCTTGCTCTCTACCTGCACGCTTGCTCTCTACCTGCACGCTTGCTCTCTACCTGCACGCTTGCTCTCTACCTGCACGCTTGCTCTTTGCCTGCACGCTTGCTCTCTGCCTGCACGCTTGCTCTCTACCTGCACGCTTGCTCTCTGCCTGCACGCTTGCTCTCTGCCTGCACGCTTGCTCTCTGCCTGCACGCTTGCTCTCTGCCTGCACGCTTGCTCTCTACCTGCACGCTTGCTCTCTACCTGCATGCTTGCTCTCTGCCTGCACGCTTGCTCTCTGTCTGCACGCTTGCTCTCTGCCTGCACGCTTGCTCTCTACCTGGACGCTTGCTCTCTACCTGCACGCTTGCCTCTCTACCTGCACGCTTGCCTCTCTACCTGCACGCTTGCCTCTCTACCTGCGCGCTTGCTCTCTACCTGCACGCTTGCTCTCTGCCTGCACGCTTGCTCTCTGCCTGCACGCTTGCTCTCTGCCTGCACGCTTGCTCTCTACCTGCACGCTTGCTCTCTACCTGCACGCTTCCTCTCTGCCTGCACGCTTGCTCTCTGCCTGCACGCTTGCTCTCTACCTGGACGCTTGCTCTCTACCTGCACGCTTGCCTCTCTACCTGCACGCTTGCCTCTCTACCTGCACGCTTGCCTCTCTACCTGCACGCTTGCTCTCTACCTGCACGCTTGCTCTCTGCCTGCACGCTTGCTCTCTGCCTGCACGCTTGCTCTTTGCCTGCACGCTTGCTCTCTACCTGCACGCTTGCTCTCTACCTGCACGCTTGCCTCTCTACCTGCACGCTTCCTCTCTACCTGCACGCTTGCTCTCTACCTGCACGCTTGCTCTCTACCTGCACGCTTGCTCTCTACCTGCACGCTTGCTCTCTGCCTGCACGCTTGCTCTCTGCCTGCACGCTTGCTCTCTGCCCGCACGCTTGCTCTCTGCCTGCACACTTGCTCTCTGCCTGCACGCTTGCTCTCTACCTGCACGCTTGCTCTCTACCTGCACGCTTCCTCTCTGCCTGCACGCTTCCTATCTACCTGCACGCTTCCTCTCTACCTGCACGCTTCCTCTCTACCTGCACGCTTGCTCTCTACCTGCACGCCTGCCTCTCTACCTGCACGCTTGCTCTCTACCTGCATGCTTGCTCTCTACGTGCACGCTTGCTCTCTACCTGCACGCTTGCTCTCTACCTGCACGCTTGCTCTCTACCTGCACGCTTGCTCTCTACCTGCACGCTTGCTCTCTACCTGCACGCTTGCTCTTTGCCTGCACGCTTGCTCTCTGCCTGCACGCTTGCTCTCTACCTGCACGCTTGCTCTCTGCCTGCACGCTTGCTCTCTGCCTGCACGCTTGCTCTCTGCCTGCACGCTTGCTCTCTGCCTGCACGCTTGCTCTCTACCTGCACGCTTGCTCTCTACCTGCATGCTTGCTCTCTGCCTGCACGCTTGCTCTCTGTCTGCACGCTTGCTCTCTGCCTGCACGCTTGCTCTCTACCTGGATGCTTGCTCTCTACCTGCACGCTTGCCTCTCTACCTGCACGCTTGCCTCTCTACCTGCACGCTTGCCTCTCTACCTGCGCGCTTGCTCTCTACCTGCACGCTTGCTCTCTGCCTGCACGCTTGCTCTCTGCCTGCACGCTTGCTCTCTGCCTGCACGCTTGCTCTCTACCTGCACGCTTGCTCTCTACCTGCACGCTTCCTCTCTGCCTGCACGCTTGCTCTCTGCCTGCACGCTTGCTCTCTACCTGGACGCTTGCTCTCTACCTGCACGCTTGCCTCTCTACCTGCACGCTTGCCTCTCTACCTGCACGCTTGCCTCTCTACCTGCACGCTTGCTCTCTACCTGCACGCTTGCTCTCTGCCTGCACGCTTGCTCTCTGCCTGCACGCTTGCTCTCTGCCTGCACGCTTGCTCTCTACCTGCACGCTTGCTCTCTACCTGCACGCTTGCTCTCTACCTGCACGCTTGCTCTCTACCTGCACGCTTGCTCTCTGCCTGCACGCTTGCTCTCTGCCTGCACGCTTGCTCTCTGCCCGCACGCTTGCTCTCTGCCTGCACACTTGCTCTCTGCCTGCACGCTTGCTCTCTACCTGCACGCTTGCTCTCTACCTGCACGCTTCCTCTCTGCCTGCACGCTTCCTATCTACCTGCACGCTTCCTCTCTACCTGCACGCTTCCTCTCTACCTGCACGCTTGCTCTCTACCTGCACGCCTGCCTCTCTACCTGCACGCTTGCTCTCTACCTGCATGCTTGCTCTCTACGTGCACGCTTGCTCTCTACCTGCACGCTTGCTCTCTACCTGCACGCTTGCTCTCTACCTGCACGCTTGCTCTCTACCTGCACGCTTGCTCTCTACCTGCACGCTTGCTCTTTGCCTGCACGCTTGCTCTCTGCCTGCACGCTTGCTCTCTACCTGCACGCTTGCTCTCTGCCTGCACGCTTGCTCTCTGCCTGCACGCTTGCTCTCTGCCTGCACGCTTGCTCTCTGCCTGCACGCTTGCTCTCTACCTGCACGCTTGCTCTCTACCTGCATGCTTGCTCTCTGCCTGCACGCTTGCTCTCTGTCTGCACGCTTGCTCTCTGCCTGCACGCTTGCTCTCTACCTGGATGCTTGCTCTCTACCTGCACGCTTGCCTCTCTACCTGCACGCTTGCCTCTCTACCTGCACGCTTGCCTCTCTACCTGCGCGCTTGCTCTCTACCTGCACGCTTGCTCTCTGCCTGCACGCTTGCTCTCTGCCTGCACGCTTGCTCTCTGCCTGCACGCTTGCTCTCTACCTGCACGCTTGCTCTCTACCTGCACGCTTCCTCTCTGCCTGCACGCTTGCTCTCTGCCTGCACGCTTGCTCTCTACCTGGACGCTTGCTCTCTACCTGCACGCTTGCCTCTCTACCTGCACGCTTGCCTCTCTACCTGCACGCTTGCCTCTCTACCTGCACGCTTGCTCTCTACCTGCACGCTTGCTCTCTGCCTGCACGCTTGCTCTCTGCCTGCACGCTTGCTCTCTGCCTGCACGCTTGCTCTCTACCTGCACGCTTGCTCTCTACCTGCACGCTTGCCTCTCTACCTGCACGCTTCCTCTCTACCTGCACGCTTGCTCTCTACCTGCACGCTTGCTCTCTACCTGCACGCTTGCTCTCTACCTGCACGCTTTCTCTCTGCCTGCACGCTTGCTCTCTGCCTGCACGCTTGCTCTCTGCCCGCACGCTTGCTCTCTGCCTGCACACTTGCTCTCTGCCTGCACGCTTGCTCTCTACCTGCACGCTTGCTCTCTACCTGCACGCTTCCTCTCTGCCTGCACGCTTCCTCTCTACCTGCACGCTTCCTCTCTACCTGCACGCTTCCTCTCTACCTGCACGCTTGCTCTCTACCTGCACGCTTGCTCTCTACCTGCACGCTTGCTCTCTACCTGCACGCTTGCCTCTCTACCTGCACGCTCGCCTCTCTACCTGCACGCTTGCTCTCTGCCTGCACGCTTGCTCTCTACCTGCACGCTTCCTCTCTACCTGCACGCTTCCTCTCTACCTGCACGCTTGCCTCTCTACCTGCACGCTTGCCTCTCTACCTGCACGCTTGCCTCTCTACCTGCACGCTTGCTCTCTACCTGCACGCTTCCTCTCTGCCTGCACGCTTGCTCTCTGCCTGCACGCTTGCTCTCTACCTGCACGCTTGCTCTCTACCTGCACGCTTGCTCTCTACCTGCACGGTTCCTCTCTACCTGCACGCTTCCTCTCTACCTGCACGCTTGCCTCTCTACCTGCACGCTTGCCTCTCTACCTGCACGCTTGCCTCTCTACCTGCACGCTTGCTCTCTACCTGCACGCTTGCTCTCTACCTGCACGCTTGCTCTCTACCTGCACGCTTGCTCTCTACCTGCACGCTTGCTCTCTACCTGCACGCTTGCTCTCTACCTGCACGCTTGCCTCTCTACCTGCACGCTTGCTCTCTGCCTGCACGCTGGCTCTCTACCTGCACGCTTGCTCTCTGCCTGCACGCTTGCTCTCTGCCTGCACGCTTGCTCTCTACCTGCACGCTTGCTCTCTACCTGCATGCCTGCCTCTCTACCTGCACGCCTGCCTCTCTACCTGCATGCCTGCCTCTCTACCTGCACGCCTGCCTGTCTAGCTTGACCTAGTTCTGCACTTCGCTTTTTTCATTTCATGGCTTATAAAGCAGAGTACTTTCACGCCTTATACAGCATAACTGAACGCCTTATACAGCATACCTGCACGCCTCATACAGCGTACCTGAACGCCTTATACAGCGTACCTGGGGGGTGTAGGGTTTTGTGTAGTCTCTACCTGTACCTGATGCGATTATTTCTCTTTTCACTTTCTTCTAGGGCGCACCTGCACGCCGGCATCAGTAGCGGAGGAGGAGACGGGGAGGTAGGGGTTGGTGTAGTCGCGGCTGCGGTGGCTCTGGAACTTGACGTTGAGGTCCGTGTGGGCTGAGAAGGATATGCGCAGGCTGCATGCCTGCACGTGCTCCGGGAGCAGGTAGCTGGTGGGTCCGGGTGGGGAGCACGCACACACCCATACATGCAAAGGGAAGGAGAGGGAACGTGACGTTGAGGTCCGTGTGGGCTGAGAAGGAGATGCGCAGGCTGCATGCCTGCACGTGTTCCGGGAGCAGGTAGCTGGGAGGCGGAACATAGACACACGCACATGCACAGACACACAGGGGGAGAGAGAGAGAGAGAGAGAGAGAGAGAGAGAGAGAGAGAGAGAGATGAGGGGAAGGTGGCTCTGGAACTTGACGTTGAGGTCCGTGTGGGCCGAGAAGGAGATGCGCAGACTGCATGTCTGCACGTGCTCTCGGAGCAGGTAGCTTGGGGGGGGGGGGAGGGGGGGGGGGAGAACGAAGGAGGGACCTGTGGCAGGTAGGGTATACCTGTGTCACTTTTGAAAAAATCCAAAATAATTAGTCTGTGTGACACGTAGGATATGGTTAGTGCGACAGGCAGGTGACAGGTAGGAGGCACGGATCTTGTAAAGGTGCTCTGGGAATGCACACCTAGGAATGCTCCTGCCATCCAATGAAGTCTTGGCACTGTTGGCAGTCTCTGGGTCTCCGTACTGCACCAATGCCTGCACGGGTCATGGGAAAAACGGGAACAACCAAACGTGGATCAACGCCACGCGGGTCAAAGCCACAGGGATTGATTCGACGGGACCGCCAACTGGGTTACAGGGAAGCATGGACCCAAAGCCCTCTGATTCGGACCTGACAAGACCAATCTAGACTGAATGAAAGATGTTGCTGGGCTTTAAGCCTTCTCACAGACCTGAAAACCGGCACTCTTCTCAAAGGTTGCAATCTTCTGGACGAATCCGAATGCCGAGAAGACCTGCGATTTGACGCGCAAAGGAGAGTTTGCAGCAGGATACAGAGTGGAGGAGAATGCACTTTCCAACACAGGCTGATTATGTGCACCATTCAAAGCAGTTCATACCTAGAAAGAATTTCGACGCATGGAAGAAAACACAGCTGAATGCGAATAAGAACAACGACACAAATGCTAAAGCGGAGAAAAAACTCAAGCACACCGAGCTATAACGAAAATTGCTTCCAAAACGTATAAATTAGCAACATTCAATCTCAGAAGCCTAGGAATTCATGCAAAGAGAAGGCGCAAATGCATGAGCACATATGACACATAGGAAAGGTGATAATTCATCAGTGCTAAGCTGCCCAGCTACGAGTGGGCATGACGAGCGGGGGTGCAGACTCCCTGAAACCGATTAGCACAGAAACAATGGGGGTTGGGTTGAGTTGAGTTGGGTTGGGATGGGTTGGGTTGGGTTTGGGTTGGGTTGGGTTGGGTTGGGTTGAGTTGAAAAGGGGGGTTGGAGAAAAGGTTAGAGAGGGTGAGAAGGGCGGGCAGGTAAGAAAAGGTTATGAGAACAAACGGTGAAATCAGAACGGATCTTGCTCGGATTCGCATCGCTCGTGCGAGGGAAGATCTGAGCCGTTCACTTCAATGAGAGGAAGATGGCCTGCACACGGAGAGGGTTTTGGTGGTTCATTAAATCCTTTGCAAAACAGAACGAACCTCGTGGGTGGGGGCATAGGTGGGCTGGTCTGGTGGAATCCCAGTCATTGCCTTAATGGAATTGGAGCGGAGCAAGCGAGGAGCCAGGAGTGGAACGATATAATCTGCACAAGGGTAATCCCATGCAAGCCTGCAATACCTAATAAGCTTGCAAGCTTGCAAGCCTATGTGAGCATCAAGCTAGCTGCTTGCCTCGCACGTTCCTCCAAACGCATGCGTGACGCGTGCACAAAACGTACCTTCAAACGAACAGGCACGCACGTACCAGGTGAAGCACGTCTATAGTCACGTCGCCAGCCTCAACCCCCTCTATAGTCACAAGCAGGACATTCCCGGAGGTGGAATCGCCAGTCTTGTTGGACGTGGTGATCTCCTGCCGCGTCGAGTACTGCAGGTACACCGCCTTCCCGCGGACCTGTGCTGGCTCGGATGACGATGCATAGTAAGACACCATGGCGATCGCCTGGTTCAAATCCGCCTGAAAATTCGGACACACGGAATGGGAGCACCAGACATTGTAAGGTGCACCGCCCTCCCGCGAACCTGTGCTGGCTCGGATGATGATGAGTAGTAAGACACCATCGCGATTGCCTAATTCAAATCCGCCTGCGGTGCGGAGAAAAGGTGATGTAACAAATCGCCATTCGGAAGCAGCGAAATGACGCGGAATATTCTCAGGATACATCGGAATGCTATTAGGAAGCAGCCAATTTTATCAGGACGAAGCGGGATGCTATCAGGAAGGAGCAGCTAGATGCTTTTAGGAAGTATCAAAATGCTATCAGGTATAAGCGGAATGTTATATGCGGAAGTAGTGTCCTGGCACGCGAACGCCAAGAATCTGCATGATTAGGACAACAAAAGGATTAACCGCTTGACAAATAGCAAAGCGAAACGTAGCGCTACGAACTTACAAACTCGACAAACGCCTGGTTACGGTTGGCGCCGACGCTGGTCTTGGTGTTGACGACGCGGCCGAAGGGCTTGCAGAGCTCTGATAACTCCTCCTCCGTCGCCTCCCACGGCAGGTTGCGCACGTGCAGCACCTTGGATGGCGGTTGCGAGTAGCGGAACTGCGGCTGACCTGCCGCCATCGCCGACGCGCTCATGGCGCGATGCGGCCTACCCCGGGCCTGCGCTTGACGCGTATGGTGATGTTAGGTTGCCGGGGTTTGGTCAACGGATGTTCGCGGTTCGGTTTGCATGTGATGCGGGAAGGAAACGAGTCGATGTGAGATGGAGGAGCTTCTATGAAAGATTCTAGCCGTCAAGCTAGGTTTCTTGACCTGCAGATGGAGACTTCAGAACCAGAGGGGTGAAATGGAATCGGTGGGTGTGAGAGGAGATTACATTAGTTGCCTTGGGGGATGTTCCAGAAGTTTGACTGAGGGCTGAGTAGGTTCTTCTCGTTTCAGAACGGTCAAAACACTTTGTCAGACCTGCCCCTAGATATTGTCGAGCCAACCTTTACAACTGAACCCTGTATAAGGTCATTCACTTGTGGGACATTTTCCGAATGTCACATATTCAAATATCAATTATCTGTTTTCTCTTCGAATGCGCCGTTCTTGCTCCTTCACACTGACAGCTGCCGCAGCCTAACGGTGAGCCGCCGCTGCTGCGCATCCAACCGTGGATCAGCACTAGTCGACGCGCCGCGACCATCAACCAGATTCCTCCAGCGCGCGTAGATCACAATCAGTGTCGACCATCGACCATGGCATCGCGCCGCCTAGCTTCGCTTCTCGCGTCTGCAGCCACGCGGCACAGACCTCGCCCAATCACGAGCTGCCAGCACACCATACCAGCTGTCATTTCTCCCAACGTGACCTCCCATGGCGCTGACATGCCGTCCTTTCCCGGGAGCGCTCGGCACTACAATCTAGTCCCGATGGTCGTGGAGCAGACGCCACGTGGCGAGCGCGCATTCGACATCTTCTCCCGGCTGCTGAAGGAACGGATCGTGTGCGTGAACGGCGCAATAGGCGACGACACAGCGTCACTGGTGGTGGCTCAGTTACTCTATCTAGAATCAGAACACCCTGAGAAACCTGTAAGCGATGGTCGTTCTAGCTTTAAAGAACGTGATTCATCTAGCTGTACGTGTAAATAAACCTGTGACGAGACGCCTTATAACGCGTTTTCACCCCTCCACGCAGGTGTACATGTACATAAATTCGCCTGGCGGTCTGGTGACAGCAGGCCTTGCCATATACGACACCATGCAGGTGAGTGTGCAGGCGAGTATGCATGCGGGTGAGTGTTCAGGTGAATGCGCAGGGAGTGTGCAGGAGAGTATACAGGTAAGCACTGAGCATGCGAATGAGTGTACAGGTGAGTGTGCAGGTAAGTATGCAGGTGAGAGTTCAGGTGAGTATGCAGGTCAGTGTGGTATGGTCGACCATTCATGACCCTGTTCGCTATATGCACCCCTTTATTCCCTAGCCTCCTCCTAACAGTCCTTCAAATTCCCCCCTCCCATCCCCTCCCCTCCCCTCCCCCCCGACCACCACCACCAGTACATCCAGTGTCCAGTGAGCACCCTCAGCGTGGGCCAAGCAGCCCCCATGGCCACACTGTTGCTCTCAGCAGGCGACTCTGGTCGTGCCTTGCACCACCTGACACCCACCGTGCTGCTCTTAGCTTGCCTCCCCTTTCTGTCCCCCCCCCACCAGTACATCCAGTGTCCAGTGAGCACCCTCTGCGTGGACCAAGCAGCCTCCATGGTCACGCTTCTGCTCGCAGCAGGGGAGGCGGGGCAGCGGCGGTCACTACCCAACGCGAGTCTCGTGGTGCATTTTCTTCTCCTCTCTCCTGCCCTACCCCCTCCCCCCCCACCACCACCACCACCACCAGTACATCCAGTGCCCAGTGAGCACCCTCTGCGTGGGCCAAGCAGCCTCTATGGCCACACTGCTGCTTGCAGCAGGCGAGGCGGGGCAGAGGCGCTCGCTACCCAACGCACGGCTCATGGTGCACCAGCCATCAGGGGGCGCGCAGGGGCAGGCCACTGATATCGCCATTCACGCGGAAGAGATTATCAAGACTAAGGCCCGGCTGAACGGGCTGTATGCCAAGCACACGGGGAAGGAGGTTGATGTGATTGGTGAGTGAAGGCTGTGCTGTTACCTTCTCCTTCTGTTGCCTACGCTTGTTATGACGGCGCTTGCCACTTTAATGTTGTCAACTTCCCCCTTTTTTTTGTCTCTTTCCGGTGCCTGTGTCGTGTAACCTGCTTTATCTCACGTTTCAGCTGAGAGTATGGAGAGGGACCGCTTCATGAGCCCGACAGAAGCACTCTCGTTTGGGCTTATAGACGAGGTGATAGACAAAAGACCTGCAGCATTGGTCACAGATGGTGTCAAGTGATGATGGGTATTGCTTACGCTTTTGAGCGCGGTCCACTTGAAGTGTATTTTTATCGCTTGGAGGAAAGTGCACTAATATAGACATGAGCTTGATTGGCTTTACATGACATGACCTAGTGGGCACGGTGCAATAAGTGTTATGGCGATACCTCCACCAACGAGGATGGCAGCTGTTCTTGATTATCCCGAGTCCATTCCAGGTTTCTTTCCACCACTGCGCAACAATAAAAAGGTTCAGGTGAAACGCATTCGTGGTGAGCACAGTCCCTCCTGCCCCAATCTGATCGCACACAATCGCACATTTTCGTGGGGGCCTTCGTCTTCGGATTGGCGACGTGATTGCGTCAATCACGCCGGCCGCCTCATCGCAACGCGCGGCCTTTGCGATGTAAATTGACCAATAAATGCTCTTCCTTGGCCCCTACATTCCAGTCAGTGCAAAGGTGACACGAACCAGCGTCCTACACTAGCCCCTACCTCGCGCGACTCGCCTGATTGCGCGCTTCGACATCTGCATTTGGTCAATCGTTATACCGGGGTCCGGGGCTTGCTGATCTCACCCTTTGAGGTTTTTCCTCCAACCGTTTAAAAATGCCTTCGAAATTGTTCGAACCGTGTGCGAACTATCTCAACCCCACTTGTCCGACAAAAAACAGTGTTCATCAGCAAACCCTGGGAAAGCAGGGGCTATTATCGAAGGCAGGAGGGCAGGCGACGATGTGACAGTACTGCACGGGGCAGGGTGCCACTACAAGTGCTGTATTGATCCTGAAGCTAGTGCATTGCATTTGCTCCTAAGCCGAACTAGCTAGCCAAGCCGCAACGCGCTCGAACAGCCGCAAAAAGACCGAGAAGACGCTTTTGCTGGTAATGTAGGACCTGGAGAAGGCTATCGTGAATCAATTCAATGATTTCTGGTCGAGGAGACTTCGATCAACGAGGGTCGGCCTATACGTTTGGAAATCGCACAATCCGTCTCACGGAGAACTTTTCTGAAGCTCACGAGCTACGACCCACCCAGCGCCGTTTATCGTAGCTCCACGTTTCAGCGGCCGCGCTGCTTACGCTCACCCAATTCTTCTACTAAGTCAGCAAAAAGCCTCGCAATGCCGTGGCATTCGGTCCGTTCGTCGCATTCAGCCTGCTCGACGACGGCGCGTGTAGCAACCCTCGTTATAGCGGCGCTCGCGCACGTGTCGCTGCGCGCCGACGCGTCGATACAGGACCTCGTGACGGCGGCCGGCACGGGGTCACAGGGTTTCGGCTTCACGGGGAAAGCCACTGCCACTTACTACGGCGGCGGGCTCGACGGTACGTCTGGTTGTCTGTTACTAGAAGAAAAACAGGAGAGACTGAGACGATATTTTATTACCAGCATCCCATATCCCGTGAAGACTCATCGGATGAGCACGTTCATCCGTTTACGGCGGTAGTGGTAGTAGCCTACGGCACGTCCATGTATTCATAACTTACGGCGGCGGTATCGACGGTAGGTGTATCGCATCGCACCCAGTGGCCCGTATGCTCTTCACAACCCCTGGTTCGATCCACCGCCGACAGCGGTGGCTTCGGCGCGCTGCGTCGCGTTCCGCGTCGGATGGCAGCAACTCCGACAACGCGGTGATCCCTTAACAAATGAGAGTTGTCTTTTGGTCTACATTGCTGCTGTCTGTTGCCACGTGGTGCGTGCAGGCGGCAACTGCAAGTACGGCAATATTCTGGCGGGGGGGTACGGCCCCTTGTCCGCAGGCAAGTTCTGAGATGTTTCAAACATGCCATAATCTCTCTCTCTCTCTCTCTCTCTCTCTCTCTCTCTCTCTCTCTCTCTCTCTCTCTCTCTCTCTCTCTCTCTCTCTCTCTCTCTCTCATCTCTCTCTCTCTCCTCTCTCTCTCTCTCTCTCTCTCTCTCTCTCTCTCTCTCTCTCTCTCTCTCTCTCTCTCTCTCTCTCTCTCTCTCTCTCTCTCTCTCTCTCTCTCTCTCTCTCTCTCTCTCTCCTCTCTCTCTCTCTCTCTCTCTCATCTCTCTCTCTCTCTCTCTCTCTCTCTCTCTCTCTCTCTCTCTCTCTCTCTCTCTCTCTCTCTCATCTCTCTCTCTCTCTCTCTCTCTCTCTCTCTCTCTCTCTCTCTCTCTCTCTCTCTCTCTCTCTCTCTCTCTCTCTCTCTCTCTCTCTCTCTCTCTCTCTCTCTCTCTCTCTCTCTCTCTCTCTCTCTCTCTCTCTCTCTCTCTCTCTCTCTCTCTCTCTCTCTCTCTCTCTCTCTCTCTCTCTCTCTCTCTCTCTCTCTCTCTCTCTCTCTCTCTCTCTCTCTCTCTCTCTCTCTCTCTCTCTCTCTCTCTCTCTCTCTCTCTCTCTCTCTCTCTCTCTCTCTCTCTCTCTCTCTCTCTCTCTCTCTCTCTCTCTCTCTCTCTCTCTCTCGCCCATGTCTCCCCCAATTCCTCGTGGTGCGTGCAGGCGGCAACTGCGGGTTCGGCAACATCCTGGCGGCGGGGTATGGCCCCTTGACTGCGGCCGGCAGTGTGATGCTTTACAAGGACGGCCACGGATGTGGCAGCTGCTACAGGTGGGATTGGTGCTACATTCGCAATTGCAAGAGGCGTGTGGGCGGTTTCACAGTGACCACACATCCCCTTCTTCCCAGTGATCAACCTTAAAAGACCTATGCACACCCTTCTTTTCCCCAACGGCAGAGTCCGGTGCGTGGACAGCCCCTACTGCAAGAAGGGCGTGAGCGTGACCGTGACCATCACGGACCAGTGCCCTGCGGGAGGGGGATGGTGCTGCCCCTCGTGTGTGCACTTCGACCTCAATATGGCCTCTTTTAACCTCATTGCGGAGCAAGTTGCGGGGCACATACCCCTCGTGTACACCAGGTAACCACCCATCCGTGTAACCCCACTGCCTCTAACATATGTGGATAGCAGTCCGCTTATGCTGCCCCACGTGTGTGCACTTCGACCTCAATACCAACCTCATTGCGGAGTGAGTCGCGGGGCACATACCGGTACCCCTCGTGTACAGCAGGTAACCACCCCCGTCCATGCAACCAACCACCTGGGTAACCCTAGTATGACAGCGTATGTGGGCAGTGTATAGGAGCAGAGCAGATCCGTGCAGGCGGGTGGTGCTGCCCCACCGTGTGCACTTCGACCTGCCCATGCCCGCTTTCACCCTCATCGCTGAGCAAGTTGCAGGGCACATACCCTTCGTGTACACCAGGTAACCACTCATATGGTATCCACATCCGTGCCATATGTGGATGGTTGCAGGCCCAATCTGCTTGTGCCACGTGTGACCCCATTGCCACCGTCTTACTCCCCACCACTGCTTACATGCAGCATCTGCAACATGCAGGGTGTCCTGTGCTTTCAACCACAGCATCCGCCTCACGCCCACCGGCTCTGATTTCTGGATCAACCTGTTCGTGCCACCATGCAACCCCCTGTACTTACTCCACTATCCCACGCCTACCCCATCGCCTACCTGCAGGGTTCCATGTGCTTTCAACCGCAACATCCGCCTCACGCCCACCGGTTCCGATTTCTGGATCAACCTGCTTGTGCGCAACGTGGCGGGCCCCGGTGACCTGGCATCCGTCCACGTGGCAGAAGCAGGATCCGCCACGTGGAAGCCCATGGAACACGACTGGGGAGCTGTGTGGGTGCACCGGACATACCTCAAGTCGCCTCTGAGGTTCCGACTTACCTCCTTAATGGACGGGCAGGTGGTGGAAACGCCTGGCCCGTGTCTCCCTGCGGGGTGGGTAGCAGGAAAGGACTACGATTGTCAAGTGCAGTTCTCTGGAAGAGGGGGAGGGGGAGGAGGGGGAGCAAAAGGAGGAGGGGGAGGCGGAGGCGTAGGCGGTTGGGGAGGTGGTGGAGGTGGGGGGAATGGGGGCGGGGGCAACAGCACAGGGGGGAATAATGGGTGGAGCGGCGGAGGGGAGAGTGAGGGGAATTCAGGAATTCTCCCACCTAAGAACATGAAGACCCCTCCTCCTAAGGGTGCTGCTCCTCCAAAGAAGGTCCCTCCTGGTTCCGGGCAGCCGAATAAGGGGAATCCAAAAAATAGCCCTCCCTCTTCAGGGCAGCTGAATAAAGGGAGTCCGAAAAAGGGTTCCCCACCTTCCGGGCAGCCAAATAATGGGAACTTTAAGAAGCTCCCTCCATCTTCAGGGCAGCCAAATAATGGGAGCCCTAAGAAACCCCTCCCTCCTTCAGGGAAGGTGAACAATGGGACCAAGGCGAAAAAAGGGAGTCCAAAAAAGACCCCTCCTGCTCCAGGAACACCCAAGAATGGGACAAAGGCTAACAGCCCTCCAAAAAAGACCCCTCTCTTCCCTGGGAAGACGAAGAATGGTACAATGACTCCTTCCCCTCCAAGTTCAGGTGCTCCCTTACCAGGGAAGGTGAAAGATGGTGGCAAAAGTAATGGTTCTAGCCCTCCTAAGAAAGGCCCACCATCACCTTCGAAGATGGGCAGTGGGACGAAGACACCCAACCCGCCGTCAACAAACTCGCTATTTCCTGGGACCGGAAGTGGGGGGTAAGAGTAATGGTATAGTAGGTGCTGCTGCAAGGGGCGGTAAAGGAGGGATTGGGGCATCGGCAGGTGGAGGGCTTACAACAAGGAGCTCATTGCAACACAGCATCATCTCCTCAGGATAACTTGTTTGGCGAAGGAAAAAAATGGAACACGCACGCTAGGTGTTCCCTTGACACCATAGCAAGTGCAGCCAGGGAGGGATGATAAAGGAGAAAGCCGCATGTAGGTATCGTGGCTTGTTATTGCTAGGGAAATAAATTACCTAGGATTATCATCAATTGCCAAGCTTTGTAGTTAGATGTTATGAGTGCTAGGATATCCTGTACCCTTACCGTATAACGAACGAAATCTCTAAGGATGAAAAAAATTGTACACCCATCGCAAGAGGGAGGTAAATACGATGCCTGGTCGGTTCCTTGTTGGGGTGGGGGAGATCCCCAACCCAATCCCGAAAGTTGTGAAATCCCAAGATGCGGCTGCTTGAGTCGGTTCCCAAGAAATGCTTGGCAACTCGCGAAGTACTTACGGAAACCTGGGTACCTAAGAAATGCATGTGACATCCCATAGGTGATTCGCGAAGTACTTACGGAAACCTGGGAACTAAGAAATGCATGTGAGTCGCAAAGGACTTACGGATACCTGGGCATGTCACTTACTTACGATGTGACTCGCGAAGTACTTACGGAAACTTAAGAAATCCCATCTCTGGGGCATGTCACATGCTTTTCTCAAACCTTGACTGCTCCCTGGCACCCCCCTTCCTCTCCTTTCGTCTCTGCTCTCACCTCCACCCTAGTTACTGGTCCCTTTCACCCTTGACTCTGCTTCTTCCTTCCGTCATTCTCTGTGCTGCTTTCTCTTGACCAAACCGATCCGTGTTGTTTGAGCTTGATTTCTGAAAATTCTCGAAAGCTTGATTTTGTACACCAGACCAGATATTTCATTCTAGAACTTATTCACCCGTTTCTGTTGGAGTCTAGGCCATGGTTGCAGTCTCGACTTGAACACGTAAGGATTTACTAGTTGCGTCCGAATGAAGCATTACTTTCTGCACGTCAACCCCCTTGGTACCGCCCAGATCAGCTTTAGTAGCCGACTGTCATAGAGCCCTCAGAGCCATTGACAGTGGACGTTAGGGCTGTCAGGTTGCGGTTTTCACGATTCCCCAGAGATCCGAATGCGCGGCAAGCCAAATTCGCTAGTAAGAGCATCGACATAGCGGGTAGGCTGAATGTTCTCCCAGCCATTGCGCATAAGATCGCCGCCTAACCGTTCCTCAGATCGCAAGCAGTCCTCATGGCTCTCTAGCCGTTTCACCGGCTTCGCGGGCTCCGCTGGGAGGCCAGTAGCAGAAGGAGGAGTACGAAGCGAATCTGTTTCTGCTGGTAAACCGAAGTCTCCCCTTTCGCGCGGAGGCCGATCGCCCGCGGGCTCTAAGCTTCCGAGGAGTAAGGCCAGCCTCAGCGACGATGACGGCTCTTCGTTTGAGTCACCTTCGGCAAGATCACCCTCATCCCCCACACCGCGCTCCCCGTCCCTCGGCAATCCGCGCGCGTCCGCGTCGGGAGCGGCGAAACTCTTGCCGCATATACCGCCGCCTTCGCACGGATGGACCAATCACCGAGGTGGATTCAGCGTCATAGGGAATACCGGTGGCTTTGCCGCCACCAGCAGCAGCAGCACCAGCAAGGGCGTGAGCGCAAGAAGCCGCAAAGGCGGCGGATATGGGGGAGATTCCGCCTCTGGGGGAATGTCGCCAGGGCCTAGTAGCCCGTGGAGGCGCGCGGGTGGTAGCGGTGGCAGTAGCGGCGGCTCTCGTTTGCAGAACATTCTTCTCGTTATAATCCTCTTCCTGTGTTCCAACTTCGCCGGTCACTATTACCCGTTCCTCTGGTCCCCCGCCGCGCGCGCTTCCGCCGTCCAATCCCTGCTCGCCACGCGGCAGCACCTGCCGGATATCCGGACGGGGCGAGGGGAGCGGGGGGGCGTGGGGGACGAGAGGAACAGCGGCGGAAGCATGATTCTGAGCGAGGAAGGCCGGAGGAGCATCATGGCGCTAGCAGCGGCGGACGGGCTGCGGGAAGGGGAGATCAGCGCGCAGCGGTTGGGCGGGGGGTTGGGCGGAACGAACGGCGCGGGGGGAGGGGTTCCGCGGCGGCCGTGGCAGTCGCGGTTCGTGCAGGACGTGCGGATAGACGTGGGCGGCGAGGCGATGTGTGCTGACATTGTGCCGGATGAGTTTAGAGAATCCACAGACCGCATGTGAGTCGGAGGTGATTTTTGAGTTCACAGACCGAAAATAAATCACCTCAGGATGTGCGGATAAACGTGGGCGGCGAGGCACTGTGTGCTGACATTGTGCCTCATGAGTTAATCCTCCGACGGAATGTGAGTCATACTTTTCTTAGACTCCGCGTTTTTTTTATTTTCACTGGCAAATGTGAACCGCACTTCCTCTCTCCGCTTTTAGCAGGCGCCGGTTGCCTGAATCTCTTCCTCACCCTTTCTCCCCTCCTTCCTCAACTTTTCAGCCCCAACTCCCTCTTTCCCTCTTCCCCCCACCCACCTATTCTTTCTTCCATTCCCCTCTCTTTTTCCCCCCATCCCAGGCCTCCAATCACCTCCTTGCTCGATCTCCTCCGCCCCAACGAGCGCTTCCTCCCCTTCCTCCCGCGCCACAGCCTTGAGAACTCCTCACCTCACGTTCCCTCTTCCTTCCTCCTTCCCCTTCCCCCTTCACCCCCATCCCAGGCCTCCAGTCACCTCCCTGCTCGACCTGCTCCGCCCCAACGAGCGCTTTCTCGCCTTCCTCCCGCGCCACGGCCTTGGGAACTCCCTGCGCGGGTTCGTCTCTGCGTTCGTCTACGCCAGCCTGGCGGGGCGGCGGCTGGTGCGCCTGCACGCGGGGGAGCACGCGCGGGTGTATGACCTGCTCTGTCAGGCGTATGGGTGTAGCTCTGATGCGGTTGGGCAGCCGGGAGGGGTGGATCGCGGTGGGGAGGAGGATGGGAGTGGTGGGGATGGTGGGGATGGGGAGGGCGAGGATGGGGAAGTGGGAGGTGGGGGAGAGAGGAGTGTGGGAGGAGGAGGGGGGGGGGATGGAAGGGATGGGGGAGAGGCAGGGGCAAGAGAGGGAGGAGGAGGAGTCTGGGAGGGGAGGGGGGCGCGGAGGGGGTTGAAGGGGGATGGGGGGGCGGAAGGAGCGGTGGAGGTAGTGAAGAGTGCGAGTGAGGGGCGCAGTGGCACGGGGGTTGAATTGTTGCGGAAATTTGCCATGCTGCGACCCATCTACTTCCTGGAGAGATACCAGAACGTTCAAAGTGAGGTGCAATCGGGGGTGGTTGGTCGGGGGAAAGGTGGGGAATCATGAGGGGCGCAGTGGGACGGGCATTGAACTGCTGTGCAATTTTTCCATGCTGCGACCCATCTACTTCCTGGAGAGATACCAGAACGTTCAAAGTGAGGTGCTTTCCAGGGGAGGTGGAGGGTGGGGTGTGGGGTTTTTAAGGGGAGGTGCATTCATCATTGGAGGGGTAGTGTTGTGCAAGTTTGCCATGCTGCGACCCATCTACTTCCTGAGAGATAACAGAACCTTCAAAGTAAGGTGCTTTCAAGGCGGACAGGGGGGCAGGGGGAGAGAGGCGGAGGGTTTTGAGGTCCTTTTAAACCCCACCCAACCCTTATGTCCACCCTACCCCAACCCATCCCACTGCATCCCACCCCACACCAGCCATAGCAGCATCACTGCAGTCAGACTACCCGGTCCTCGCCACGCGCAGCGGCACCCTCTTTGACCTCTTCTGGCACCGCAGCGACCGCCCTTCACTCAGCCTACCCCACCCCATCCACCCTACCCCGCCCCATCTCACCCTTCCCCACCCCACCCCACCCCACTCCACCCCCCCACACCCCACACCCCACACCCCCAGCCATAGCAGCGTCACTGCAGTCAGACTACCCGGTGCTCGCCACGCGCAGCGGCACCCTCTTTGACCTCTTCTGGCACCGCAGCGATCGCCTGCGCTCCTGCGTCTTTGCCGCCTTCCACTGCTCGTGAGTCGTCCTCCCGTTCTCCCTCCTGTGTCTTGGTTGCCTTCCTCTGCGCATGAGTCAATTAATCACGCTTGGGTGTTGCATTCTGTTTTACTGCTCGTGAGTGAGTCGCCCTCTGTTACGCAATGGCACCCTCTTTTTCCTCTTCTGGCACCGCTATGACCACCTGCGCTGCACCCCTGCATCTTTGCAGCTATCCATTGCTCGCGAGTCACTTTCTGTTCCACTGCTCAATGCCACTGCATTTACACTGCCCTCTGTTCCGGCCCCTCCCCACCGGTGCTGCTGTTTGTACCATTGTCACCCCTCCTCTCATCCTCCCCATCATCTTTCCCATCATCCTCGAATCGCCTCCATCCACACCCACCTTTGCCCCATTCTTCTTTCAGGTCCGTGTGGTGTGTTCATTCCCGCGCCATGTTCGAATTTCTCTCCCGCACTGGCCCCACTACAGCCCTCACCTCCACCATCTCTTCTGTCCTGCGCCGCGTGCCTCATAACAGCAGCAGTGAGGGCAGAAAAAACAGCAGTAGCGGCAGGGAAAGCAGCACCCAGGACACGGGCAGCAGCACAGGCAGCAGCAGTAGCAGCAGCAGTAGCAGTGGCAGCACAGCAGACCCAGCAGCTGCAGGTGCAGGTGCAGCAACAGCCTCATCAATCAGCAGTGAGCCAGCACACGCGGGGCCTGAGATAGAGTTTGACGTGGGGTTCCACGTGCGCACTCGCACCCTGGCCCTGGAGAAGGTCGTTCGGCAATCAGCCGACACGTACCAAGACGCCGACTGCCAAGACCCTGAAGATTCCCCTGAAATCAGCACCAGCAGCAGCGGCACCGGCAGCAGCACCACCAGCGCCAGTGCCAGTGCTACCTCCCTTCGACCCCGGTTCCTGCGCAACTGCCTGTGGGAGTGCATAGGCGGCATCCTCAGCACCCTCCGTTCCATGCGAGACGACCTCCCCGGCAGCAGTAGTAGCAGCAGGACCACCACCACAGAGCCCTCTAACAGCAGAGATGGATCGAGCAGCAGCAGTAGCGAGTTTTCTATCTTTCTAGCAACAGACGACGAGGAGCACCGAGGTGAGTTTGTGGCGCGACTGGCAGAGTACGGCACTGTCTTCTTCTCCTCTGGAGGCATCTTCCACACCTCCAAGGCTGGCGGCAGCGCTGGCAGTGGCAACGGCAGCGGCAGTGGCGGGAGTGTGGGAGCAGAGGGACTGGAGAGCATTAGTTTGGGGATGGGGGTGGAGGGCAGTAGTGATGGCAGCAGCAGCGGCAGCAGGGCTGGTGTGAATGGGACCAGCTCTTCTGGTACCACTATTCCTGAAACAGTTGCACAGCGGCTTCCCACTATGGCTGAGTTCTTCTTGCTTTCAAAAGCGCGGACCATTATCGAAGCTGGAAGTTACATCAGCACGTTTGCATACTTTGCCGGGTTGCTAGGCAATGGGACTTTATCGAGTGTAGATATGAAAAACGGGCAGTGTAGACTGCACCATGAACATGTGGCCCAAGGCATGTTTGGCTAATATATATATATATATTTCAACCAAATTCGCAGGTGGTATATGAACATGTGGCCAAAGGAAACCATTCCTCTATCTATCACTCCGCTAAGAGCTAATCTTTTCCTCCCAGGCCCAGGCGCTAAGATGGTAAATGGCTATGCTACCACTTACCACACACAAAGGAGGGCCTGAATTCAGCAGAAACATAATATATACTACCAGGCACAAAAGACATCACACCATTTCACATGATGTAGAAGACAAGGTCGCCTTGAGAAAGAGGTGTAGACGGGAGAGGATTTGTGTGCACAAATGCGGTTGGAGATCCCAAGGTGCCTGCCACCCGGTACAGCCCCAGGGCAAGCGCATGCCTGGAACGCAGCATATCTATAAAGAGTTCCCCGTACCCCCTCCCCACAAACTCATGTGGCACTTCGCACTGCCACAGCTGCCGCCTGTGCTTTGGGTGCTGGTGCTGGTGGTGGGTGTGATGAGGTGATTTTGCTGCTGCTTGGTGTTGCTTGGGTGTGGATGAGGATGATGGGAGAGCAGCAGTTGGCGCAGCAGATGGAGCAGAAGCAGCAGAAGTAGCAGTGGAAGCAGCACTGGGAGTGGCATCATGAGCAATGGCATGAGGAGTGGATGAGGCATTGAGAGGGGGAATGGGAGGACTGCCAGATAACAAGAGGTGCAGAATGGTGGAGATGTTGCGATTGTAGAAGGTGGCCACACTGGTATGGGTGGAAACAAAGGCGACGACGGGTGGAAGGGGAGGGTCAGAGGGATATGAGAAACATGCACGACGATTTTCTGGCACCTCAAGGGACACCTGGACCGCCAGATATGAGGAGGTGCAGAGTGGTGGAGATAAAAAAGGAGAAGGAGGCCACGCTGGCATGGGTGAAAAGGGGGCGGGACGGGAAGGTCAGAGGATTTTGGAGGAGTGGAACAGTAAGTTGGGGAAAAGGCAGAAGGTCAAGCACCAACAACTCCTGATCCCAAGGGGCTTGAGATGACATGGCTTCACATCATCCAAGAATGGAAAAGCCTTGTAAGCCTGTTACACGGCACCTGAGATTATTAAAAAGGTGAAAATCTTGAAAGGGTTGTGAGAAAATACTCACGAGACAGCAGAGAGCGCGGTGCTGCAGAAGGCCCGCCCGCTCTGGAAGACAGGAGCAAACGCGTACACCCCCATCCTGTTCCGCAGATACGATCGCCTCTCCGCCCGCCGCCCTGGCAGCAGGTACAGCGGCTGGAAGTACTGATATGACTGCTCGCTCTGAAGCTCCACCAGCAAACCACCCTTCCTTCTCTCCCCCCCCCCTTCCTCCGCTGCTTCTGCGCTCTCTCCGTCTGTTTCCCATCCTCCTTGTAACTGCTCCACGTGTGCTGCGACCACCACGCTTGCTAGGTCTGCTGACGGGCCTGAGGAGGAGGAGGAGAGGGATGGTGACGTGGCGCCTGGCGATTGGTCGGGGGAGATGACAAGGACTTTTTCGGCGGAGAGGACGCCGGCGCGGATGAGGTCGAGATCGTGTGTGGGGGAGCCGCAGAGGAAGAAAACGTCGGGGAATATGCCTACTTGGGCCCACTCGCGGTGGGTGGGGTGCTGTCGGGGCGGAGGGTGAAAGGAGAGGGTTACTTGCTATGAGGTCGAGATGGTGTGTGGGGGAACCGCAGCGGAAGAAGACGTCGGGGAAAATTCCCACCTGAGCCCATTCGCAGTGTGTGAGGTGTTGCAAGGCAATGGGGGGAGGGAAGGGGCCATGGGCTGGCATCAGATCAAGATGATGCATGGGGGAGGGCCACAGAGGAAGAAAACGTCAAGGGAAGATTCCTACTTGGGCCCACTCCCGGTGGGTGGGGTGCTGTGAGGTGTTCGAGGACGGGGAGGGGAAGGGGGAGAAAGGGAGGTGGGAGAGTGACAGGGATGAGATTGAGAACTTGATTCGTGAGAGGGGGGAGCCGCAGAGGAAGAAGACGCCGGGGGAGATGCCCACCTGCGCCCACTCTCAGCGACTCGGGTGTTGTGAGGTAATGGAGGAGCGGAGGGAGGGTGGAAAAAGGGTGGGACAAAAGTGAGGGGGAGAGAGGACGCCGGCTCGGATGAGGCCATGAGGGCGCCAGTGATGAGGACAAGTGTACGCACATGGGGGTGCATGATGAGCACGGGTCGTTGCGGCAGTGCCCTGCTCCTGAGGTGCTTCACAAGACAGAACAGATTCGCCGGCCATGCCACCACGCCGCCTCCCTCCCCCCCCTCCCCACCTCCTTCCTCCTCTCCATCACTAGCACTACCACCAACACCATGGCTTCTGCTGCTGCCAGCGAGGCACACGAGGATGTGAGGCGAGGCGAAGTCAGCAACAGGGAGGGTGTGGGAGTCTAGATGTGTGAGTATTGCCTCTTCATACCTATCTACCACCTCCACTGCCAGCCTCTCAATCTCCTCCTCCTCTTCCTCCTCTTCTTCCTCTTCCTCCTCTCCTCCCCCCTCCTCCTCCTCTCCCTCTTCCTCCCCCTTCTCCTTCGCCCCCCCCTCTGCCTCGTCCCCTTGCTTCTCCGCTTCTTGTTTCTCATCGCCTTCCTTCGTCCCCTCTCGCTTTCCTTCGCCCTTCCCCACTCGTTTCTCCTCTGCACCAGTCTTGGATAGCAGGTGCAAGAATGGCTTATCCTGGGCAAACACAGCAACCTTCCCACCATCAGCAGCAGTAGCACCACCCTCCACAGCCGTACCAACGTCCCACACGCTGTCACCAATGCCTTGCGGCACATCCCCTTCCACTGCACTTCTCGCCTTGCCTCTCTCCTCTGCCATTTCCCATTCTTCCCTCCTCGCTTCTGTCGTGCCTCCCCCAACCAGCAACCCCTGACTTTCCACGTGCACCCCTCTCCCCTGCTCTGTAACCCCCCCATCCACCTCCCCAATACCCTGGAACCGTACTACCTTTCTCTTGCTGCTGCTGCTGCCAGGCTCTCTTGCTCTCGTTATAAAAGGATTCGTTTGAAGTGACGAATCTTGGCGCCCTCTTGATGCTGCTGCTGCTGCTGCTGCGGCTGGTGGTGGTGCTGCTGCTGCTGCCGCTGTGCCTAACCCTGCTGCTGATGGGGATGTTGGTGATGCTACCTGGTGGTGGTGGCAGTATCGGGAGAGCAGGGGCGTGGTGAGATGACTGTCGGTGAAATGAGTATCATCAGGCATCAGAGTCACACTCACATCCCTTCCCAAACTCATGCCACCCGCACCAGCAGCACCAGCAGCCACCGCAGCAGCAGTTGGTGCCAGATCAGCCCATCCACCTGCCCCTTCCATCGCCCCTCTCCTCATCCACTCCTCCTGTACCATCTGAAACAGCGACCGCGCGTCAGCAGTCGCAGCAGGGGACGGCAGCAGCAGAGACGCGGCGCGGCGGGTCCCGAAGAGGAAGGAAGAGAGGTGGCGGGAGATGGGGTTGGAGGCGCGTGCTGCCGCCAGTGCGGATGCTGTGAGGGGTCGGTGCTGACGGTTGATGGGGTGGAATGGCAGGGTTTGCGGCGGCTGGAAAACGAGCTGCTGCTGCTGTTGCAGTTGTTGGCTATCACTCTTCGGCTGCTGCTGCTGCTGCTGCTGCTGTTGTTGTTGTTCAGTCATTGCCTGCTGCTGGTGCTGGTGATGCTGCTGCCTGTGTTGCTGGTGCTGATGCTCCTGCTGATGCTCCTTGCAAAACCGCTTCCAATGTCCACCACCTTCACAGGCCACCCTGGAACCACCGCCCTGTTTCTCCACCTCCCCTCCCCTTTCCCCCTCCCCTTTCCTCCCCCTGACCCCCCACCAAGACTGCCAGATTCTGCCACTCCCCCCACTCCCACTCCCCCCACCATCGCTCCTCCCACTGTGCAATCCGCCTGTGAAAGCAGAAACCCTTTCAGCAGCGTCAAGGCTGGGCGCAATCACCAACCCCACGTCAACAGAGCTGCGGATGATGTGCTGAGATGGAAGCAGGAACACCCCCCGCTGGCACCCACACTCCAGCCCCACTCTCCCTGCTCCTCCCCCTCCTCTCCCTCCGCTCGCTCCCTTCCTCCTCAGCCTAAGGCCCTCGTGTAACTGCTGCTCTATTCTCCTCGCCACGCCACTTCCCGCGTTCCACGCTTTCCCTTGGCCAGAGCTGCTGCCTGCTGCTGCCCCTGCTGCTCCTGCACTTGCTCCTGCTGCTTTTGCTGGTTTTGCTGCTGCTGCTGGCGTGCGGGCAGCAGAGGCAGCAGCGGAGGGGTTGAGGAGAAAGTACAGCTCCTCTTGGGGGTGGGAGAGCAGGCGGCTCAACTGGGGGAGGGGGTTTTTGAGAGGCCTGGGCGGTCGGCTTGCCTTTTTGCCCACGTAAAAGCTTGGGGCTGCTTCCGCGGGTGCTCCTGCTCCTGCTGCTCGTGCTGCTGCTGCCCCCTCTGCTCCTCCTCCTGCTCCCGCTGCTGCTCCCTCTTCTCCTCCTCCTGCTCCTGGGGCTGCAGTTGGTACTGCACGTGAATATGATCCCTGCAGTGGCTTTGCTGTGGCCTCTGCCTCAGAGCGCCTGTCTCCCTCCTCCCTACCTCCACACTCCACACACTCCCCACAGGCGTGCATCCCACCCCTTCCAACACCTCCCCTACCCGCCCCACCCCTCTCCACCCCTCCATGCGCCCCACACGGATCCACCAGCACGTCAAGAGCAATGAGGCAGACGTGAAAGCAGCGGTACACAAACTCTGCAACCTCCTCAAAGGACAGCCCGTGGAAGGCGGGGGGGAGGAGCACGGGGTAGATGGAGTGCAGGCAGCCGGCGTGGTACTCTGGCAGCCATGCCTTGTGGCCGGGCGAGTCGAGCAGGAGCGGCGAGCGCAGCAGGTTGGCTATTAACGTTGACAGGCCCCGCATGAAGCAGCTGGGGGGGGAAGAGGGGGAAGGGGATGGGGAGGGGAGGGGGAGAGGCACACACGAAAGCACTGGTGTAAAAACGGGGCGGGATCTTGGAAGGGGAAGGGGTGGAAGGCGGGGGGGGAGGAGCACGGGGTAGATGGAGTGCAGGCAGCCGGCGTGGTACTCTGGCAGCCATGCCTTGTGGCCAGGCGAGTCGAGCAGGAGAGGTGAGCGCAGCAGGTTGGCTACCAGGGTGGAGAGGCCTCGCATGAAGCAGCTGTGTAGGGGAGGGGGAGAGAGAGAGGGGAATGAGAACCCTAAACCCTAAACTTGGTTGTTTGGTTGTTTGTTTGGTTGTTTGTTTGTTTGTTTGTTTGTTTGGTGGTTTGTTTGCTCGTGTGTTTGGTTGTTAGCTTGCTTGATTGCCGGTTGACTGCTTAGACTAGCTTAGTACCAATGACTGTACCTTGATGCTATTAATACGAAGGACCGTTCGAGGGGAATGAGAACCCTAAACCCTAAACCCAGTGTCATACCAGGACGAGAACTGCAACCGAGCTCCTGGATGGGCGGCTAGGGCGGCAGCAGCAAAAAAGGAGAAGTACGCTCGCCGGAACGCGTGGGTGGGGTTCCACGCGCTTGCAGTAGAAACTTACGGCTACCCCTCGCCAGGGGTGATGGCATACCTCCGGCAATGCGCGGAGCTGGCGGCAATGCGCGGAGCTGGCGGCAAAGCTGCGCTTTAACACAGCACCTACCTCCTACGAAGCAGCGAAGCTGCTGACGGAGTACCGCCAGCGCTGGAGCGTGTGCCTCCAGCGGGCGCAGGCCAACGCCCTCCGCACCAAGACCAATGAGGCCTTGGCGGCGGACGAGCTCGGCTTTTGGGGTCCCATCATCCCTCTCAGTGAGGGACAGCTGCACCAGTTGATCGAGGCCCCGTTCGACCAATAGGGTCGGACAGGGGGGAGGGGGCTGTTGAACTATATTTATATATGTTCTTTATAATTGTCTGCAGTGTAGAGTGTAGCACATCCCAATTTGCTGTAGGTGGTGCACCATGCTTCTCCTTGCTATATTTTGTACTCATCTTTCTTAGTGAAGTCACTTCTTCCCACTTCAACTCTCTCGACACCTCCTTCAACCCTAAAACCTAAGTTCTTAACCACTAAAGCTATGGCTCCTAAGCCTAGCTGTCCTTAGTCATTCTGACAGGGGCCGTGTAGGTAGGGGATTCGAGGTACATAGAATGCCGGTTTGGGTGTTTGTTTTGCTTGTGTGTTTGCATCTTCCATTGTACCACCCCGTAAGTAATGCAAGGACCATTCGAGAGGGGAATGACTGACGTTGAGCTCATCAGGACCCCTCTGAACGCATTGACTCGCCTGGACCCACGTCGACTCACCTGGACCCACGTCGACCCACCTGGACCCACGTCGACCCACCTGGACCCACGTTGACCCACCCGGACCCACGTTGACCTGCCTGGACCCCAACACTTTGAAGCGCAGGCTCTCATGGCAGAGCACGTGCATGCGGTGGGTGGCAGTGCCCCACACCGGCAGTGCTGCCGCCTGTGGCAATTGATGCGCCTAACAACTCACAGACTCACCTGGACCCCTGAGAACGCGTTGACTCGCCTTGTCCCACGTTGACTCACCTTGTCCCACGTTGACTCACCTTGACTGACGTTGACTCACATGGACCCCAGGACTTTGAAGCGCAGGCTCTCATGGCAGAGCACGTGCATGCGGTGGGAGGCCGAGTCCTACACTCATGCTAATACACGCTAAACACGAATATTCCAACCTAGCTCAGAACGCGTTAACTCACCCAGAACCCCTCTGAAAGTGTTGACTCACCTGGACCCCAGGACCTTGAAGCGCAGGCTCTCATGGCAGAGCACGTGCATGCGGTGGGAGGCAGTGTCCCACACGGGCAGTGCTGCCCCCTGCGGATTACCCATCTCCAGCACGAACCGTGATAGATGCCCCGCGTAGCGGTTCAACGCAAGGGCCTGCGCGATCTGAGCGTTGTCCAGCGCACGAGACTGGGAAGGGAAGGGTGGGGAGGGGGACGGGGGGGAAAGAAAAGCAGCCTGCCCTTCACCCATCTCCTCCCCATCGCCGCTCATTGCGCGTGCTTGCGCGGTCTGAGTGTTGTCCAGCGCAGAAAAGCGGAGGGGAGGGAGGAGGGAAGGGAGGGGGGAGAGAAGGGATGGAAGCCAGGGAGAGACACAGGGGTGGTTAGCCAGGGGGGTTGATAGGATGATGGGATCACGCTCCTGGAGGAGGGGGACTAGCGGAATGCAGAGCGGGGGGGGGGAGAGGGTGGTTGGAGGGGAGGAGGACTCACGGATTGGAGGGGTGGGAGGAGGACTCACGGATTGGAGGGGTGGGAGGAGGACTCGCGGATTGGAGGGGTGGGAGGAGGACTCACGGATTGGAGGGGTGGGAGGAGGACTCGCGGATTGGAGGGGTGGGAGGAGGACTCACGGATTGGAGGGGTGGGAGGAGGATGAAGACAGCGGAAGCGAGGGCGATCTGCACACGGTGCAGGTCGTATAGTGTCATGGGCGAGCCCTGAATGAACCGCACTGCACCGTGGTATTCCGTGATCAGAGCCCGCAGCTCAAAGCTGGGAAGGGATGGGGAGAAGGAGGTGATTCGGGGAGGGGTGATGCGATGGATTGGGTTTATAAAGAGGGAGGGAGAGAGAGCTGTGGTGCAGTGTAGGGAAAATTATGAGCGCGGTGCTGAAATTATGCTGAGTGAGAGTCGTGAACGAAGAGATGCGACATTAGAGGCGTGAATTGAAAGGTGTGAGCTCTCAATTCACCACCAGAGGCGTGAATTGAGAGCTGTGACCAGAGATGTCAAAGGAGATCAGTCGAAGGAGCGCTGCGGAATGAAAGCCACGAAACAAGCCTTATGAGGAATACGGGATTCCTAAGCAGAAGAGGCGCACTTACGATGGTTCAAAGGGTGCTAGAATGACCGTTTGGAGAGGGTAGGAGGCGAAATCTGATGATAAGGGAAAGAAAACAAGAGGGGAAATTAAAGGAAGAGTAAAAGCCAGTGGGTGTGATTGTGATGATGAGAGGGGAGAATGTTAGGAGAGAATAGAATGGAGCTAAACCCTCTATTATGTAATGATGGCTAGCTTTGTCATGCCATGGCTGATTGGCTATCTTGGACAAATAACATGTGGCTACCTTTGTCATGTAGTGGGTGGTAGAGCTCAGCCAGGAACTGCTGGATGGAGAGTGGGGAAAGCTGCCCCGTCAGCACCACAAACCGCATGCCCGTGGCGGAAGCTGCTGAGAACCTTCCACCGTACGGCCTGAGCTAGGGCGTGGTTAAGGGAGCGGAAACAGGAATAAGTTCAATAGCAGACCAAGAAGTTGACTGCCAATGCAGAATGGTACAATGTGAGACTGGAATTGATGCGATTGATGATTGTAAAGCCAATGCAGAATGGCACAGTGTGGGACTGGAACTTGCCAGAGACTTGGTGGTGCTTCAAGTGAGAACAAAACTGTAGATGTGATTGGGACGGGAGTGTGAATGCGAGTGTGAATGCAAGCGTGAATAAGACTTTCAGACTGACAATCGCTGAGTGAGACGTCTCTCTCAACACGTGCCTGTGGGCGAGGAGGTTAGAGATGTTGCTCACCTGCACGGGCAGAATAACGAGCGCTGCCATGATGATGCACATCACCGCTACTCGCCCAATGACAATGTGAATGAGAGAGTGCAAGAGAGAGTGCACAAGAGAGTGAATGAGCGAATCACCTGTGCGCGAGGAGGTTGGAGATGTTGCTGAGTTGCACAGGGAGAATAACGAGCGCTGCCACGATGATGCACATCACCACCACCCGCCCCGCTGTGTTGGTCGCCAGGATGTCTCCATAGCCCACCGTGGATATCTGGCATGCAAGGAGGGATAGAGGTGAGGGGGGGGTCGATTATTGAGTCGACTTACAAATCGACTCATCACCCGCTCTGTGTTGGTCGCCAGGATGTCACCGTAGCCCACTGTGGATATCTGGTGCACAAGGAGGGAGAGAGGTGAGGGGGGAGGAGGAAGAGGTGTGCCTTTCGTGGTGTGTCGTTGCTGTGGCAACAACGAAACAGAGTGACATGGCACAGTCGAAAAAGTTCACAGGCTCACAGCTGCCTGTCTCCTCTCACCCACTCACTAACCTCGCACCCACCAACTCACCTCTCACCTACCCACTCACCTCTCATCCATTCAACCCACGTCTCACCCACCCACCACCTCTCACCCGCCCACCTCTCACCCACCCACATCTCACCGTGAATAACAACGAAATAGGGTGACATGGTGTAGTCAAGAGTTCACAGTCTCACAGCTGCCCGTCTCCTCGCACCCACCCACCCCACCTCTAACCCACCCACCTCACCCACCCACTTCTCACCCACCCACCTCTCACCCACCCACCTCTCACCCACCCACCTCTAACCCACCCACCTCACCCACCCACCTCTCACTGATCATCGTGACAACAACGAAATAGAGTGACCTGGCATAGTCGAGGCAGTTCACTGGCTCACAGTTGCCCGTTTCCTCTCACCCACCCACGTCTCACTCACCCACGTCTCACCCACGTCTCACCCACCCACATCTCACCCACGTCTCACCCACGTCTCACCCACCCACATCTCACTTGGCCACATCTCACCGTGACAACAACAAAGTAGAGTGACATGGCATAGTCGAGGCAGTTAACCGGCTCACAGTTGCCCGTCTCCTGCACCTCAGGGTTCTGGTAGGTCACCCACAGGAAGATGCCTGCTGCTGCGAATACTGCAGGATGTGAGAGGGTAGAGGGATAGGAGTGAGGACAGGAGGAAAGATGGAATTGGTGCTTCACTGCAGAGTTCTGGTAGGACACCCACAGGAAGATGCCCGCTGCTGCGAATACTGCAGTGCGTGAGAGAAAGGGTGCATACAGGAGCGAAGTCGGAGGGAGATAAGATCAGAGGCAGAGGGAAGGAAGATGAGAAGCTAGTTGATGCCTTCACTGCAGGGTTCTGGGAGGTCACCCACAGGAAGATGCCCGCTGCTGCGAATACTGCAGTGCGTGAGAGAAGGGGTGCATACAGGAGCGAAGTCGGAGGGAGATAAGAGCAGAGGCAGAGGGAAGGAAGATGAGAAGCTAGTTGATGCCTTCACTGCAGGGTTCTGGGAGGTCACCCACAGGAAGATGCCCGCTGCTGCGAATACTGCCGTGCATGAGAGGGCGGAGGGACAAGAGAGCAGACAGAGGGAGATAGAAGAGAAGTGAGAGGGAGGGGAGCTTATGCCTTCACCGCAGGGTTCTGGTAGGTCACCCATAGGAAGATCCCCTGTGCTGTGAATACTGGGACGTGAGAGGGCAGGCAGGTGTGTGGGGGGAGAGTGTGTGGAGAGAGGGAGACAAGAGTGAAGGCGGAGGAAGAGAGGAATATGGAGGGAAGAGAGAGGTCATTGATGAGCTCTTGTGTGATGGACGTGATGCCCCTGCCCTGCTGCTGCCGGCGGGACACACTTAGTGGCGTCTAAGAGACACACTTAGTGTCGAAGAGACACACTTAGTGTCGAAGAGACACACTTAGTGTCTAAGAGACACACTTAGTGTCGAAGAGACACATTTAGTGTCGAAGAGACACACTTAGTGTCGAAGAGACACACTTAGTAGCGTCTAAGAGACAACAATTAGTGCCGTCTAAAAGACACACTTAGTAGTGTCTAGAATTCTTACTTGGTGAAGTGAGGTAGACGATGAGAGTGATGACCTCCTTTGTGATGGACGTGATATCCAAGCCCAGCTGCTACAGGCAGGGCACACTTATTGTCTAAGAGACACACTTATTCTAAGAGACATACTTAGCGAGGTGAGGTAGACGATAAGGTTGATGACCTCTTGAGTGATGGATGTGATGTCCAGTCCCAGCTGGTGCAGGCGGGTGAAGGGCCTGGGGATGAGTTTGCGGGAGAGACAGTGAGAGAGAGAAGCGCACTTGACACTCAGTGGCGTTTAACAGCCTGACATGCCACAATACCGAAATGAGGGTGGATCAATCAACAGGGTGCCACTCACTTGAGGATTTGCAAGAAGTAGACGACTTGAAACAGGGTGCCTGTTCTCTTGCTGCTGCTGCTGAGGCTGCCCATGCGATAGAGGAATGGAAGAGGAGTGGATGGAGAGAACGGGAGAGAATGGAGAGAATGGAAGATGATGGAGAAAATGGGAGGGGATGGAGAAAGTGGGAGGGGATGGAGAAAGTGGGAGTGGATGGAGAGAATGGGAGAGGACGGCAGAGGGTGGTGAGGAGTGCATCGATGGACAGAGGATGGAGAGTATGCAAGAGGATGTGGGGAAATGTAGGGGATGAAAAGAATCGGAGGGGATAGAGAGAGGCGAGCGCATGTGAACAAGACTCACTGGGAACCGAGCACGGGAACGCCAGATAGGATGTCGAGCACACCCAGGTAGGAGCACACGTACAGCCAGCGCACTGGCGCACTGCACGTGGGAGGAAGGGTGGCGGACGAGGGATGGGTGTTGGGAGTGAATGGGGCACGTGGTCATAGCGAGCACACCAGATAGGATGTCGAGCACTCCCAGGTAGGAGCACACGTACAGCCAGCGCACTGGCGCACTGCACGTGGGAGGAAGGACACGGAGGGATGGGGTGTGTGCGTGGTTGCGGTGAATGAGGTATGCGAGAATCACAGGGATCGAAGCACGCAAATGAGAGGGAAGATGTCCAGTGCACACAGGCACGAGCACACATACAGTCACTGCACTGGCGCACTGCACGTGGGAGGAAGGACATGGAGGAATGGGGTGAGTGTGTGTTTGCGGTGAATGAGACATTCGAGAATTCCAGGGATCCAAGAACGCAAATGAGAGGGAAGCTGTGCAGCACACACAGGCACGAGCACACGTACAGCCAGCGCACTGGTGCACTGCACGTGGGAGGAAGGACATGGAGGGACGGATTGAGTGTGTGTTTGCGGTGAACTAGGCATGCGAGAATCCCAAGGAGGCGAGCTAGGGAAAACCAGAAGGGGTGTCCTCAGGGAAAGAAGCTTGCCTGTAGAGGCGGAGGAGGAAGAGCAGGATGAAGAAGGCAGAGACGGCCAGGTGCCCTGCGTTCCATGCCACCACCTGCGCCACCGCCTCCCTGGGGACATGGATGGCAGGTATGGGAGGACGGGGTATGGGCGTGAGATATGGGTGTGAGGTTGGGCGGGAGGTATGGGCGGGAGGTATGGGCAGGAGGTATGGGCGGGAGGTATGGGTGGGAGGTACGGGCAGCAGGTACTGGAGTGAGGGTGTGGCGAAGCATGCAATGCATGGATAGCCAGAGATGCGATTGTCAGATGACTGTACAGGCATATCAAGCATGGCCACGTGGCCCACACGTCTGCACCACCTTCTGCCTGCCTGCCTGCCTGCGTGACTGTGTGCCTGCTTACCTGCCTACTATAATATAGTACGTTGCGCCATACCTGGTCCCTATGATATAGTACACTGCACCCACGCAGGAAGCCATGAACTCGGCCTGGAGCAAGGGAGAAGCGGGAGAAGCAAAGTGAGGGAGAAGCGAAGTGAGGGAAAAGCGAAGTGAGAGAGAACGGCAGCGAGGCGCGGATGCGTTCCCCACACAAGGAGGCACAAACGTGATCGCAAGCCATATCAACATGAGACGCCATGCAAACGCCATGGGATGGCATGGGATTGCATGGGACGACCACAGCACTTTATGAGGATTCGGTACAGTCACAGCACCCCCGTGCGGATTAGAGTCACAGCGTAGGCGGCAAGCGACTGACAGCAGTGACGAGGAGGCTGATGGGCCCCGAGGTGAGCATAGCTCGCAGGCGACTGGTGAAAGGCACCTCGCCATACAGCAGAGAGGAGTGGTACAGCGATAGGATGTCCTGGGAGGAGATAGAGAGAGGCAAGGCGAGGGGAACGGGGGTAAGAGTGTGAGGTGAGCATGGCTCGCAGGCGACTGGAGAAAGGCACCTCGCCGTACAGCAGGGACGAGTGGTACAGCGATAGGATGTCCTGGGAGGGGTTAGAGAGAGGAAAGGCGATGAGAGGTGGGGGGTGGGAAGAGAATGAGGTGAGCGTGGTTTGCAGGCGGCTGTTGAGAGGCACCTCGCAGTTCAGCAGCGAGGAGTAATACAGCGTTAGGATGCACGTGGGGGAGAACAGCACGGAAAGGAAATGTAGACGAGAAGAGTGGCCCTTCGCTGTACAGCTAGCAACGAGCAGTGCAGCGACAGGATGACCTGGTGGCTCAGGCATGGAATGAGGAGAGGGAGGAGTTGGAAGGGGGGCGGGTATTGAGGGAGGTGGGACAAAGGAGGTGGGTTTGTGTAACAGTTAAAACCTTGTCAAGTGGTTCTGCACGACGTGCATCGAAGGGAGGATTAGGCAATGCCTACACTGTCACATTCACCTAGCCTGACTTGGCACTCGCTCTCTTTGTCACATTCACCTAGCCTGACTTGGCACTCGCTCTCTTTGTCACATTCGCCGCTGATATAGTCACACTCACCTCACTGGCGTACACCGCCTTATAGTTCCGCTTCAGAAGCTTCTGCATCGAGTATGGCATTATCGATTCTCCCGGCTTCCTACCACTCCTCCGCCTCCTCTCCTCTTCGCGTTTCCCCATGTCCCTGCTTCTGACTAGCTCCCCTATTCGTCGTAACCTCGCTTCGTTGAATACCTAGCTTCAACCTAGGCGGTGTAAGCGATTCAATGACCGCACAGGCCTATGGCGATGGCTCGTCCACAGTTTTGACCCAGCTTCTTTAAGAATTTGCGAATTGAAGAAAAGCCATCGAATGCTATTTTAGTCCTTGTTAAGCCACATCTTGGCAATTAACGGAACAATGAGATTCTCACTTCGGTACGCACCGCCATCAACAACCTATTCCAATATTAGCTGATATAACAGAAGCAACACTGATTCATACGCACTAGAGTAGTCACCATTTTGTCCTAGATATTCCGCACGACATATTCGTCAAGGTCCACCAAGCTTGAGCTACGACCATGACGGCTCTGGTCATATTGTGATGGAAGTAGCATGTTTCGAGAACCGCGAAGTGAGGGATGGTCTTTTTACTAGGCAACGGAACAGAAGGAATTCTGTTACGGGTGCAATGAATCGAGGTAGCGAGAATTGCACTAAGGTGTCAAATGAGTACAAAATGTGAGCGAAGGCATGAGCGAACATTTATACGCGAAACATGTAAAACGGTAACGCGGTGCGTGCGAGCTTGCTAGTGCTACGCTGGAGCGAGGCTCGGGCTAGTCCCGAAGCGTAGGCCGATACGGCCATGCCAGCGGTGCGAGGTTTGGCAAAACAGTGCGCGCGAAGTCGGCGAAGTTCCGTTAGCAGTAACGGGCGAACAATCGGCTGTTGCTGTACGCGATGTAGTCGGCCCCGTAAGGAATGCCGAGAAAATTCCTTACACTACCCCCCCCCTTAAGAAGCCCCCTCCGCTACGCAAGTGCGTGTATATCGCGGAATCCCCGGCTCCTCAGGTACACTTGCAGGGCAGGGTGATTTTCGATGTTGCTCAGGGGCACCCAGCTATCTTCAGTTGGCGTGCGGTCTTTCCAGCGAACGAGGAATTCAATCCTCCTGATTCCCGTGGGGTGGCGGATCCGATGGCTTAGGATTTTTTCGGGCTCGATGATCGGCTCCGATGCAGGGCGAGTCATTGATTGTGGACGGTGACGTGGCAGTTGACTTGTGGTCGGGATGTATGGGCGAAGTAGGCTGACGTGGAACGAAGGGCTTATGTACCAGTCGGTTGGTAACAGTAGGTGTGCGGTGACGGGTGTGATCATGAGACTGATTTGGAATGGTCCACAGTAGCGCGGTCGTAATTTTGGTACGTCGGGCAGTCGCAGATTTTGCGTGTCAAGCAGTACGTAATCTCCAGATTGGTACGTGACAGGACGGCGGTGGCGATCAGCGTTGCGCTTAGCGATGACGTTGGCCTTTTTTATTGCTTCGGCGGCTCTGGTGCGGGCAGCTTGCAGGATTTCGGCGAATTGTTGTGCACGTGGCGTTGGGTTGTCCGGACTCGGCGTCATGGGCACTGTGGGGTTTTGCCCATAGTTCAGGTAGAACGGGGACTGCTGCGTCGTGGCTGATGTGGCGTTGGTGTACGCGAACTCGATCAGCGGCAGCTGCTGCTCCCAGGTCGTGGGGTCGTCGCACGTGGCACGAATCAACTGCTCCATCGTCTGATTCGTCCGCTCCGTTTGGCCGTCGGTCTCGGGGTGGTACGACGAACTGAACTGTAGTCTGGTCCCGAACTACTCCCAGAGGTTCTTCCAGAAGTTGCTGGTAAACTTCGTGTCCCTGTCGCTGATAATTGCTGCTGGTATCCCGTGCAGGCGAACAACGGCTGCGATGAACAGGCGAGCGGTCTCCTCGGCTGAGATCGACTTTTTGCACGCAGCGAAGTGTGCCATCTTCGTCAGCCTATCCACGACGACCATCACCGCGTCGTTACCCCCAGGGTTCGAAGGTAACCCTGTGACGAAGTCCATGGTTACTTGCTGCCAGGCGCGTTCGGGCGGTGGGATCGGCTGCAATTGACCCGCCTTCCGCTTCCTTGAACTCTTCATCACCTGACACGTCGGGCACGAGCCCACGTGCTGCTGTACGTCGGTCAACAGCTCCGGCCAGTAATAATACCGCTGCAGTTGCTGTCGCGTTTTTTCTACCCCGAAATGTCCCGAGGTAATCCCGTCGTGTGCCTCCTGTAGTAGCAGCTCCCTCAGTAGTGAGTACGCAGGTACCCAAATGCGGTGGTGCCTGCTTTTACGTAATAAACTCCTTTTGCTTCTGCCAGTTGCTGTGAATTTCCGGTCGTGAAAAATGGGTCGGTGCGGTATCCGTGGGTGAATAGGCCAGTTAAAAGCGGGTTGGTCTGGGCGAGTAGGATGGCGTGGAGTTGGGCGGTGGGGCGGGTGAGAGCGTCGGCGATGTTGGATGCGCCTTTTTTGTACGTAACGGTGTAGTGAAAATTGGATTCGAGATAGTCCAACCAGCGAATCTGTCGTGGGTTGAGATTCGGTTGGGCGCGAAGGTACTGTAGCGAGCGGTGGTCTGTCCGTACTGTCACGTCGGCGCCAGTCAGGTAACATCGCCAAACTTTGAACGCGTGCACGATCGCTAGCATCTCGCGGTCGTGTATCGGGTAGTTACGTTCGGGCGGGTGTAGTTTGCGGGACTCGTACGCGATTGGCTGGAGGCCGTTCCCGAAGTCCTGCAACAGTACTGCTCCCACAGCGATGTCACTTGCGTCGGTGACGAGCTCGAACGGACGGTGGGGATCTGCAATGTGAAGGACGGGCGGGGAGCACAAATTTTTTTTGAGGGCCGAGAAGGCAGCTTGCTCTTTCTCCCCCCACGTGTACTCAACCCCCTTCCTCAGCAGGTCGGTCAACGGGGCAGTCAGCTTCGCCATGTCGGGGACGAACCGGCGCACGTAGTTGACGAACCCCAGGAAACTCTGCAACTCGGTCAAGTTGGTCGGCGCGTGCCAAGCCTGAATCGTCGCAATTTTCTTCGGGTCTATTTCCACTCCTGCAGCTGAAATAACATGTCCCAAAAACTCCAGGCAGTCCTGTAAAAACTCACACTTAGATGCTTTGGTCAGTAGGCGGTTCTCACTCAGGATTTTTAAAACTGCTTCGATGTCCTGTAAGTGCTGTGCTCTGTCAGGGCTGTAAATCAGTATGTCGTCCAGATAAACGATGACGCACTTATCTAAAAGTGGGCGGAATGCTTCGTTCATGGTCATTTGGAAGGTGGCGGGGGCGTTGGTCAGTCCGAATGGCATGACGGTGTATTCGAAGGATCCGTAGCGTGTTCGGAATGCGGTTTTTGGGCAGTCGGGTGGGTTGACGCGGATTTGGTGGTAGCCTCCCCGGAGGTCAATTTTTGAGAAAACCCGGGCTGTGCGCAGTTGGTCGATCAGTTCGTCGGCTCGTGGGATGGGGTAACGGGATTTGATGGTAACCCTGTTCAGTGCCCTGTAGTCGATACACATGCGAAACCCCCCGTCCTTTTTCGGTGTGAACAGTATGGGTGCGGCGAAGGGCGACGAACTCGGGCGAATGAATTCCTTTTCGAGCAGGTAATCGAGCTGCTTCCTCAGTTCGTCTAGTTCGGGTTGGGTCAGTCGGAACTGTCGCTGTACTGTTGGCTGTGCCCCCGGTTCTAGATCTATCCTGTGATCGTGCGGTCGCTGAGGTGGCAGTCCCGTCGGCAGGTCGTCCGGGAAAATGTCACTGTACTGTTTTAACAGTGCCGCCAGGTCACTCGGTACGTCGGTTAGCAGTTTCTGTAAATCCCCTCCCTTGTCTGCTGCCTCGGCTTCCCGAATGTCAACCGCGTACACGTCAGCTCCGGCCGCTACAGCGCGTTTCATCGTGATCGCATTGACACGCACCGACGAAGACTCAGGCGAGCCCCAGCGAGGTAAGGCGATGCTGTTACCGTTTACTCACACGGTGCAGTCACCCGTCGTCCAGTCAATTCGCGGATTGTGTCGTCGCAGCCAATCACGCCCGAGTAAAATGTCGGTTCCGTCGAGGGTCGTTGCGAGCATTTCTTGACTAAACGTGAAGTTACCCCCGCATCGAATCCGAACTCGGTCTACGCGTTCCCGTATTGCCAGCGGCGTGCCGTCTACCAGTCGTGCGTCGATCTCAGGTAAGCATCGGTCCAGTGGCAGTCGCAGTTTTCGTGTTGTAGCAGTGTTAATGAGGCTGTGGCTGGCTCCCCCGTCTACGAAGATTTTAACTAAGTCCGTCCCAATTTTCCCACTGAGCAGTATAGGGCTATCTACCGTGGTACCCTCCTTATTCGGCCGGGTGTGGTCGATTGCGTGAACCGGCACAATCACTCGGTGAGGGTCGGTTGGGTCGGGCGAGCGGCGTGACCTGTCATTAGAGGGCCCGTCTGCTACTGACTTCCAGCGTTTCCCTGCTGCTTGGCCTGTGTCTGCTGCTCAGCTTCCCCCTTTCCCTTAGCGTTTTCCGGGCATTCGCTCTTGCGATGTCCCGGCCGATTGCACGCAAAGCAGCGCCCTTTGAACGGTGCGGCAGCGGCATTTGCGGCGACGGCGCGTATCGTGGCGCTCTCGTTCGTCCCACGAGGCCGATGTCCCCAGGTGTTGTTTCCGTAGGACCCCGGTCTCGGTCGGCGAAAGAAGTCGAGCTTCTCCGCCATAGCGAGAATTTCCTGAAACTCAGTGACGCCGCGAAGC